CGGCAGAAGAGGCTGGGTAACGCGGCAGAAGAGGCTGGGTAACACGGCAGAAGAGGCTGGGTAACGCGGCAGAAGAGGCTGGGTAACACGGCAGAAGAGGCTGGGTAACACGGCAGAAGAGGCGGGCTTTCACAGAGACGCGTGGTCTAGAGCCTCATCTCTGTGGCGGTGGGCGGCCCAAATTATATGCAAAACTGATTGAAATGTGGGTTATGTTGTGGTGTCCCTGTTGACTCGTGAAGTCTTAAATTTAGGGTCCCGGTAGTATAGGCGGGTTCGATCTCGACCCACAATTGAGAATTCCCGATTGTGAGAATTCTCGGGCAGGGCAGAGATAGTTGGGCGCGTTTCCTGTCACCTAATGCCCCTGTCCACCTAGCAGTAAATAGGTACCCTGGAGTTAATCAGCTTGTTGCGAGGATGCATCCTGGGGAGAGACAGTAATTCGACCCATAAGGGGGGGGGGTTATAAGCCTAACATGTACCCTATGTGTGTAAATCACGAAAATTAACACGTGATGAAAAATGTGACATTGTTAGACCAAGGAGGAAGAATAGAATGTACCCTATGTGTATACTGGCTGCCTGTCCCTTGACACAATAAATTATTATTATTAATTATTTGTCACGATAAAATTGACTTAACACAATGCAATTACGCGCACGTGTAAGCGGCTCCAATGTGATATTTATATATTTAAAAATGGTAAAGCACGAACAGTGTATTCTGGAGAGTGAGAGGGTGAAGCGTCGAGCCGGGGCACACATAGCGGGTCGCGGGGTACGACGTTGTAAATACAAATGACACAAATTTTAGCATAGTTTTTTGTTCAAATTTTGGTGAATGACCGGATGTTTGGCGTGGATGTGGGGCGACTCGGACCCTGACTTTCTGGCCTGAGTTATGGTGGTATCTGACATTCTGACCTGAGGGATGATCCTGCCGCTGACGTTATTGTCTGGTCCGTCGCTTTCGGTCAAGGACGTCTCGTTTTAGTCGTCTTATGCCGTTAATATTTTATGGTGGGCCTAGAATGATGCCAGCTGAAGTTATTCACGAAGATAGGTCTCTAGTACTAATTAGCTCTTCTTGTTCTATACTTTACTACGTGGGGTATCCGGCTGCGCCTGGGCCTCTCCTCCCTTCTCCACTCCCACCCTCTCTCCCATCTCACCCTCTCGCATCTCCCCAAGATTTCTTCCCCAGGATTCCCCCTCTCCACCATCTCTCTCAATTTTCCCCTCTCCACATTTCTCCCCCAACATCCTCCCCTCATCCCTCTCTTCAAACATCCCCCTTCTCCTTCCCTCTCTTTAAACATACCCCTTTTATAATTGGCTCAAGGACTGAACCCAAAAATTCATTTAGCTAAGCAAGTTACAGTCTTGCTTGCAAGTTACAGTCTTGCTTGCAAGTTGGTAAGCTAGTTACACAGTTTAATGTATGCAGACAATGGGTTCTACAAAGATCACATGCATCTAAGCAAGTCTGATGGTTCTTATTTTCGTTCCATAAAAGCAGAGGAACTGCCAGTGATTATGACTCGCTGGTCGTGTGAAGTTCAATGCTTTTATAGCGGCTTTCACAACACCTATTTTGAATCTTCCACTACACAACACTTCTCAATGAATAGTACACTGGAAATGGCAAAATTCAGGGTAGATTTTACAATAGGAATCATATCCTTTAATTTAGAAGCCTCAAAAGCTTTTCTACCTATAATTTACGGCGCTCCATAGTAGCCTCATAAACAGCTTTTGTCCAGTAAACGGCTAACTAAACCAGTGTTCCTACCACACTCATCAAGTATTCATCATATGTCGCTGCTGTTCCCCAAACTCTTCTGTTTCTTGCATACTTTCATCATCGTGACGAATAAAATTTGCAAATAAACTTCTTCCATCACGGTATCCACCCGCACGGATCCTCTGTTTACTCTGTATCAGTATACTAGACGCAGTCAATATCAGTGAGTGTTTATTTTTTATTTATATGCCAAAGCCAATGTTTGATGATGACTATGTAATCAATGCCCAGCAAGATTGATGAAGAAGAAAACGGTAGCCTAGTGCAACCTCAGGACAAGTCCATTGCATCCAGCGGTCGACCCCAAAAACACATTCATCAATTTTAATATGCTGTTCATTCTAAATAGGAATTTTTCAAAATATAAATTAATATTGTTATATGTTAGCATACTGTGCATATTTAGTTATTGGTTTGGTTAAATTAGGTGTTCAGGTTCTGTTGACGATTATTTGTATTTGCAACCCGTCATCACACTAGGCTGTTTAAAACAGCGGCCGTCATTCCCAGACGCATTCATCAATTTTAACATACTGTGTATTAAAAAATGGATTGTTCTCATATATAAATTAATATTATTATACATAAAAATTCTATGTATAGTTAGGCATAGGTTAGGTTAGGTGTTTAGGTTCTGTTGGCGATTATTTGTCTTTGTAGTACGTGGGTGAAGCATTTACAACGTTGTGGTTCGAACAAAAGTCGTCAGCGAAGCACTTGTTCCGGAAGTGTTCGAACGAAATCAGTTGTGAGTCGTGTGTAAACCGTTTTTCATTCATAAACAGGGGGTTTGGCGGGTGCATCAAATCACCTTTGGGTCTTTGCATGGAGGACGGGCCGAAGCAGTTACAGCGTTGCGGTTCGAGCAAAAGTCGTCAACGAAGCACTTGTTCTGAAAGCGTTCGGACGTCATTCAGCCCGTCCTCCAAATAAAGATCCAAAAGTGATTCCATGCACCCGCCAAACCCCCTGTTTATGAATGGAAAACGGTTTACACACGACTCACAACTGCTGACGATCGAACACTTCCGGAACAAGTGCTTCACTGACGAATTTTGTTTGAACCACAACGCTGTAATTAGTTCACCCACGTACTACAAAGACAAATAATCGCCAACAGAACCTAAACCCCTAACCTAACCTCTGATTATATATGCACAATACGCTAATATATTATAATATTAATTTATATTTGAGAAAATTCCCGTTTTGAATGAATAGCATGTAAAAATTGATGAGTGCGTCTGTGGGGTCGACCGCTGGATGTAATGGACTTGAGTCGAGGATGGGTTACCATAGAAGACATCCCCGCGGGTACACCGGCAGGCGGGAATGGAGATGACCTGGTCAGAAGGTCAAGAAGAGTACCATGACTGGATCCTGGGAGTCACCGTAACATTCGTTGAGATGCAAGTCTCGTCCATACCATTCACTCAGACCTTCAGAATGCACTCAGGAGAGTGCGAAGGACTTGGTGTTCTTGAAATCTTTATATAACATACATAAATACATGTTTGTTGTTTATCCTAACCGTAGTCGTAGTTAAAAGAGAGAGAGTGTGAGTGAGTGAGTGAGTGTGTGTGTGTGTGTGTGTGTGTGTGTGTGTGTGTGTGTGTGTGTGTGTGTGTGTGTGTGTGTGTGTGTGTGTGTGTGTGTGTGTGTGTGTGTACTGGGAAGGAGTGGGGGGAGCGGAGACAGGAACCACGCAGGGCGCGAGGTTGGACCAGGGAAAGTGGTTCTGCCACTACACACGTACAGGCAAATACACACACACACACACATGCGTGTACACACGCAAAGCCATGTGTACGTCCGTGCAGTGATTCACGGTCTTTGGCCTTCGTCCGTAATATGTCAAGGTTTGTTGCGTGGAGTATGGCAGTGTATGGGAGGATCCGCATGCCTGCTTACCTTCCTGTATTGGGGAACACACTGTGGCCAGGTTCTAATATAGCCACTGTATGGCCAGGTATCCCTATGTGTTCAACAGCTGAGAGTATGTACCCATACTCTCCTGTGAGTACTGGCAAGGCGCAGTACCGGCTTCTAAGCCCCGCCTTTCTAACCACTTTCCTTACGGTTCATATTTCCCCTCTGTAATTTCGTCTTCAAATTTATTCCATTTAATAATGATAATAGTAAATCGGGTCTTCTTGACATCTCTCAGAGCCGCTTGTGCCTCAAATTTCCATTCATTACCTCTTGTGACTGTTTCCAATCTTCAACATAGCCTCAGCGCCAAGTCTCCAATCACCTTACAAAACCCATCCTCCTGATATGATAATACTTTTTGTAACGATGTGGACGATCGTACAAATATCGACGTTGTAGATACATAGAATTAGAATTTGGTACTATTCATTTTATTGTCCGGAAAAATATATTTAAAACCAAACTTAAATATTCCTAGGCTAGAGCCTAGGAAGCATTCCTAGCAGTAGAGCGCCTTAGTTCCTTCTTTGATAATTACTTACTAACTAGTAAAACCCATATATGTACTATATTAAAGCCTGAGATAACGTGTATTAGGCTTAGGATGGTTAGGTTAGGTTTCATTAGCAACATTAATAGAAACCTTTTCCGGTTTGTCCAAATGCAGACATACAAAAGTCTTCTTTCTGTTGGTGCATCACGACTATATTTGTACGAGGGACCACATCGTTACTGTAAGTACTTTCATCTTAGGAGGATGAGCTGCCTTACAACTGTGTTATCGTGTCTCCCGTCTTCCCTCCTCCACCCTGGCCAGTTTGAGGAGCCTCGCCATCGGAATATCAATGGCTCCCTGTACATTTCTGGGCTATTTTTAATTCTGGTGGTTATTTTTTCAGGTTTGGATTGCCGGCGGAATAGCATCCCTGAGGCCAGGTCTTACATGTGTGGCGTTCTGGTGGTCTTTATGTCAAGGGTTGTGAGGATCACCTTGACATCTTCCAGTTTCACCATATGCTTTGCATGTTTGTGTGTGTGTGTGTGTGTAAATGTTTGTTAATATATGTTTATTGTATGACCCCCATAATCATCCTACAAAATGGTTACAAAGTCACACAATGGGTCAAGGAACGTGTGTGTGTACAGTATTTGTTTATTTACGCCTGTGCCTGAGTGTGTGTGTATGTATGTGTGTGTGCATGTGTAGGGGGGGAGGAGGTATATATCGCGGGCCAGACAGGGTGGCTCCACCAGTCATAGTCCACACTCCGTGCTGGTCATAACTGACTTCTCTCCTCCGGCACCCCCACGGCTTTATTAAACCACCACCACGGCCACCACAAACACCTTCACCTGCCCGGCTGCACCTGGGCCACCAGCCCTCTGAGACATGGACGCCTTGCCGCTATCTTTTATACTGACGCTTCTAATGACAAGTGAGTCCATATATCAGAGTTTATCAATCCGTGGTAAGGGTTAATGTAAGGCGAGTGAGTGAAAATGACACCAAGCAACCAGTGATCTCCAGGTGGAACGTTTGAAGTTGATATATTACGTCAGAGCGAGGCAGTGTGCCCAGCGCCGCCCCGCCCCCCTCTGCCACCAATGGAATTATTCGTCAGTTCATGTGCTGTTTCGTGAAACTTAAAATGTGCGTGCCAATACAAATATCAAACCTGGGAAGACCTGCAGTTCAGTAGACCAACAACCGATTAGTAATGGGTTCGATTGTCGCCAGAGCGAGAGGGTTGGGCCTGTTTCCTCACACCTGATGCGTCTGTTCACTTAACAATTTACTACATAAGTGTACCCACGAGTTATGTGACTTGTGGGTGAGGAAGGTCAGGCCCCTTGACTATACACACCTTGACAAAAGCCTGACAAGACAATTCCTATCCTCGACAGTGAGAAACCATCACAATGTGATCAATGTGTTGAAAAGATTCAGAGTGAAATCTTGTTCCCAAATGTACATATAGTTAAGATAAATAACATTTGTGTATAATTATATGCTATAAAGAAAGTCTTGGTAAATAAGCTAAATCTGACTTAATCAACTATCAAATAATTAGCCTAATACAATGTATTATTGTGGACTAATGCTATGCATTTTTCTACAATAAAACTGCCACTGTATTTGCAAGGTACTATCTATATACAGTAGAATCACCGATCATTGAATCACTTTGATAAAGACTGAGCTGTGGGCCTGCACTTAGCAAATTAATTTAATCTCCCGAGTTAAAACGTTTGTTTAATTAATTTCCCATGCAAGGCAGGTAACCGACATTCCCATTCTGTGAGTGGTAGTTGAGAAAGGCATAGAGGCAAATACTGGGCTCTGGAAGTGAACCTCCAATACTGATTATTGGTTAGGTTAGGCTAGACTAGGCTACGTTAGGCTAGGCTAGGTTAGGTTAGGTTGAGGACAACTATGAGCTGGTACGTACAAGAAGCGGCATGGAGCCTCTCGACATACCGTCTCGTCGTAGACTAGGTCGGGAGACGGGTCCTTCCAGTAGTTGATTAAGACGCGCCCCTGTCGGCCTCCGTGTCCAGGAAAAGCAAAAGTGAAGTGGCCTACACGCGTCTCGCTTTCCACTGGTCTTGTTGAACCTCCGCTGGTGAAACCGCTCTCCAACGGGGTCACGCCGGTAACTACATCCCCGCCCTTACCAACCATTTCGCTCAAAATAGACACCTTTTTTTTGTGTGTCAGAGATGTGTCAAGGTAAATAAATTCTGGGTTGTGGGAGGGAGTGGCAGGCAATGCGGAACATATATATGTCCAGCTAGGTAGTAAAGCGCCATATTTATGCAGCAGTTTCTTAAATATTTTAGTAATATTGGTCTACAGTTGTTATTGTACTTGCTATCTCCACTTTATTGACTTGGGTTACTCTGTTTTTTTTTTTTTTTTTTTAAAGAATATCCAGGGATAGAAGGCTCGGAGTTCTAGTCTTCTATTGTAATAGTTTATAATACTTGAGGCTTTTTATATATATTAAAACAGTAGTTGCCTCCCTTAGTTTTAAATGATTTAATTATAGGGTCTCGTAGTACAGTTGGCTTCGTTCTCGACTCACAATTAAGGATTCCAGACGGGATAGAAATGATTGGGCACGTTTATTTCACCTAATACCTCTGTTAACCTATCAGTAAATACGTATCCGTGACTTAGGCAACTGTTGTGGGGTTGCGTGCTGGAGAAGGTCAGCAGTTCGACCTTGTGTAGTGGATTGGACCTCAATACAAGCTTAAAGAATATATATACGCAGATTTCGTGTCCCCGACAAAGAAAATTAATTATTTTTAAGTAACACGTGGAAAAACGTGTTGGGAATAGGCTCGAGATAGTTGTTTGAGTTTCATAGCCATTTACATTGGTTTGTAACACTTATATTATTGCAAGGATTATTTCAATTTATGAAATGAAACTATTGAATTTAATGGCAGCGTTATCGGCTGACGGCATGTTCTCTCGTCTCTAGCAAGGTGTGACAGTTCTCCTTTGATCTCATTGGACGGTAAATTTTTTGTCTAGTTTCATGTTTCCCTTTATTTGATTACCTTTATTTTCATAGTGGTTGTTTTAGCTCTTGATAGTTTCTTAGCATTACTGAGCACCTCTTTGTCGCTTACTTTTGGAAGTGACCCCTATGCTGTATTTCTTCTTATATTCGTATTTTTAAATTGTGATTACTAGAAGTTTGCTTTATGTAAGCCATAGGGTGTTTATCTCTTGGTGATAATTTCTATACTTAGTGTGGGATAGTGTGTTTCAGTTCATTTATTATGCTCCCCATACCTGTTTTGTGGGCGGTAGAGGAAAAGAATACTGAGGCACATAATGGCTCGGGCCGCCTCGGGGACTGATGATGAAATAGTTTCATAATTTGATGTTTATTTAAATTATGAAGGTTGTTTCCTGCTCTCCGTGCAGGCGTTATGTCTCTCGTGTTGTTGTAGTGTGGTAGGTCCTGTTGCTGTTGTAGTGTGGTAGGTCCTGTTGCTGTTGTAGTGTAGTCCTGTAGTGGTGAATGCAGGACGGTGACACAGCACTCTCCTGTACCAACCACTACAGAGCCCACAAGTTTTTGTTGATCAAGTTCGTCCTTGAGTACATTGTTTCTTGTACATGTAGGGACTTGGTTTGTTTCCCACTCTTGTAAGACATTCCTCTTGTTTCTTGTTGCTTTTCTGGGATATTTGATTATAATTTTCGTCTTGGGGAAAGCTTACTTAATACTGTTCAGTTTATTTATGTAAGATGGTATCCTGAGCCCACATAATGGGCTCAGGGACTGAATCCCACAATTCATTTAGCTAAGCAAGTTACAATCTTTATGAGCTAGTTACAAACACATTTCAGGTCATCAATGTATTCACAGTTACTCACGGTACCATCGCGGCGACCCCAAGAGAAGCCTAACACCAGGAAAGACATTTTCAGCCGGCCCATCCTGGCCGTGTGGGTTGGTGGCGGGAAGGGGCTAGATTCACGAAGTTACGCAAACACTTACGAACCTGTACATCTTTTCTCAATCGTTGGCGGCTTTGTTTACAATTATTAAACAGTTAATGAGCTCCGTAGCACCAGGAGGCTGTTTATAACAATAACAACAGTTGATTGGCAAGATTTCATGCTTGTAAACTGTTTAATAAATGTAACCAAAGGCATTAAAGATTGAGGAAAGATGTACACGTTCGTAAGTACTTGCATAACTGCTTCGTGAATCTGACCCAAGGTTCCGGTGTCATGTAACACGTTCAACTACCCCAGTGATCTGTAGGATTGACACCTATACACTGTTTTGTTTTTCCTTTGTTATAAAATAGGATATAAATACAAATCAAAGGCAAGGTACCGAAACACCATAACATTGTCGAATACCACAGGCTACATCACCAGCAACAAACGGAGAGAAAAACACAGCCCCGGTAGCCCCAACAGTACCGGAACACCACCCCCGGTAGCCCTGACAGTAGCGGAATACCACCCCGGTAGCCCTGACAGTACTGGAACACCACCCCGGTAGCCCCAACAGTACCGGAACACCACCCTGGTAGCCCTGACAGTACCGGAACACCACCCCGGTAGCCCTGACAGTACCGGAACACCACCCCGGTAGCCCCAACAGTACCGGAACACCACCCCGGTAGCCCTGACAGTACCGGAACCCCACCCCTGGTAGCCCTGACAGTACTGGAACACCACCCCGGTAGCCCTGACAGTACCGGAACACTACCCCGGTAGCCCTGACAGTACCGGGAGTCTTTTTCCCCAGGATAACTGGGGAAAAAAGAAAACATGGACAAGACACAAGCAGAATATACAACCTGAAGAGGCACAGAGACAGTAGACGAGTATGTAGACACTCAGATTACTTAATTAATCCCCCACATATACGTGCAATCTTTTCAACATAAAAGTTATATTAAGAATCACCGACAGGAAATTGATCCTCTCACAAAAATGTAACTTTCTCCTTTGACCACACCCAAGTTCTCCATACCTTCACCGTAAGAGGCTGTCACTTCACCGTTATAGCGTATACTCATCCCTCCCACCTAGAAAGTATCCATAGCTGTCTCCTAGATACTTCGATAGCCAAATATATATCTATATATTCATATTTTAGCACCGGACTGCTCCAGCAATGAACGTAAACATTGACGATAATGAAAGAAAACGAGAACAATACAAGGGTAGACTTTTCCAAGTAGACGAGCACGAGATATGCTCCTGTCATTCACTCTGAGGCGAACACCTCAGAACACAACTTAACAAAAAATGGTTTATTAACATAATATATGTAGATATGATGTAGTAATTATAATACAAGAAGACCACATGTTTCGCACCAGTCCTTGAGGAGATGAGTGGATTATCGAGGTCAGAAAAGTTTCCCGTTGTGACAGCTAGTTCTGCAGGATCCGGTCGGTTGTACTACTGACCCAACCTTGAAGACTGGTACTGAGTCACAACCACCCTTATTACCCGCTGGGATACGGGTCAATTTATCTATCTTCGTTAACCTGAGTGTTATGTCTCCGGTACGCAAGACAGAGAAAGGACTTTGAAGATTCTATTTACTCATTCTACGTGATGATTGGAGACACTCTAGTCATACTGGAGTATAGTACTGGACGGTAGTGACGTGTAGAGTACGCGTAGCAAGGTTGTCAACAGCATGGACGGCGGCATGCAGTTGTGTCAGCAGGTGCCAGCCTTGTCGGGTCATAAGGTCACAGGCAACACCTCTCCACCCCCTCCCCCAAGAAATTCCTCCAACCCACCACAATCCCTCGACTTACAATCGGGTATCCAAGTTCGATTCTTGGACGGGATAGAAATGGCCGAACACGTTATCTTTCACGTAATGCCTCCGCTGACCTAGCAGTAAATAGGTACTCATGAACTGGTCAACTGTTGTGGGGTTTATATCCTGGGGAGGGTCAGTAGCTCGACCTAGGGAGACCTCGAGAAGCCTAAAGTATATATAATGATGAAGAATATGAAGACTAAACCATACACACCAGAAGATGAGACGACGATGACGTTTCGGTCCGTCCTGGACCATTATGATGTATCCAGGGGCCAGATTCACGAAGCAGTTATGCAAATACTTACGAACCTGTACATCTTGTCTCAACCTTTGGTGGCTTTGTTTACAATTATTAAACAGTTAATGAGCTCCGAAGCACCAGGAGGCTGTTTATAACAATAACAACAGTTGATTGGCAAGTTTTCATGCTTGTAAACTGTTTAATAAATGCAACCAAAGCCGTCAAAGACTGAGGAAAGATGTACAGGTTCGTAAGTACTTGCGTAACTGCTTTGTGACTGGCACCAGATCTTTCAATGAACCACAGAAAACAACATGTTGTCTAATGGAGACACGATTCATTTCCTGTGCTGTAATAAACACGAAGAAATCAAAACGGAAACGACATATGAAACAGTCAAATCACACCATAGAAAGAAAAACAAGACCTCAACGTATTGTCAGACCTTAAATATAAACTACCACATCAAAGTAGCTGTCACGACTAGAAAAAAATGCCAGATTAGACAACAAGGACTTTCCCAACAAAAGGTTCCATACTAATGATGCATTTTTAAAGAACTGTTCTTTAGGGTGGAATATTGTTGCACACTCACAGCCCCATTCAAAGATGGTCATATTGGAGGGTGCTATTCGGTATCTGTTGGGTGCTGTTTGCTACCCGTTGTATGCTGGTGATAACAAAGATCATGAGATAATTACAGTACAGTGGGTAACGTTACAATACGTGGTGATGATCTAAGCACGTCAGAGACTTGGAGGTAGTGCAAGCTTGCAGTGTGTGTATTATCATCAACAGGTAAACACAAGGATAATTACCATAAGGTATGTCAGTAGTTTGGCTGACAAAGCTTACAATCAGTGAGGATTACACCAGTAATGGTACGAGCTCGTAGGGGCACCTAATAGCCAAGCTTAAGCCTAGAAACCCAGTATTAACATCTACATTAAGCGGGAACCATTGATGACGCGGAAGTTTAGTCCATACAGTTGAATGGACTTGAAAAATTTGAATTTTGAATTTGAATATACCAAATAGCAGGAAGTGAAAACTAAAAGGAAGGAAGAGCAGCAAGATAGCCAGGGAATGATGATAGTCACAGCGAGGAAGGGGAAAGGGAACATAAAAGTGAGATGAACCAGAGTAAGAGTGATATAAAGTCGAGGAGGAACCAGTGGCCTACTGACCCCATGGTCGGCCCTCCGGAAGTTGTGTTACGTCACGGTCGCCACACCTGCTTCACCCACGTACACAAGCCTCTGGCTATATATATCCAGTCTCATCTGCATAAACATTATTATTTCATGTCAAACACTGTCAAATCTTTCACGATAAAAGTTAATTTGTAAAGCATTAACGAAGGGCATTATAGTAATAAACATTTATAGGGTGATTTATGTGCAGGAAATCTTCAATTCAGTGATATGAATGGCTTATTTTTTATTAGTTTAAAAAACAAGTTCCCTCCGAACATTCAAAGATAATGATGTTCTTTAACCTTTTGTGGAAGAGTAGAGCCGGTTCCCAGTGAATGTTGTCCAGTTAGGCTACTGTTCCCCCCTACGTCAGCGAACTGACGAATGACCCCAACCATTACATTCTTGACTATAACTATCACTGTGCAATAAGTCCCTCTTGACCTTTCTTCGTAATACTGCCGGTCTCGTTGCTATATTTAAATCGTAGCATTTCCTGCCTTAATTCGTCCGGTGGACGTGCAGACAAATGCGTATACCTGTCATTGTTGGCGTACGCGGCCGACGTTATGCAACGCTATGTTTAGATTTCTCAACATTCATCTCCCACTACACCTATATAGTGCATTACTATAACTTTACTAATAATTCATATATAGCCTCACTAAATAATGCACGTGTAGCCTCGCTAATAATGCATCTGTAGCCTCATTAATACTGCACCTATAGCCTCACCAATAATTCATTGGTAGCATCATTAGTAATACACCTGCAGCCTCATTAATAATACACCTGTAGCCTCATTAATAATACATCTGTAGCCTCATTAATAATACATCTGTAGCCTCATTAATAATACATCTGTAGCCTCATTAGTAATGCATCTGTAGCCTCACCAATAATGCATCTGTAGCCTCACCAATAATGCATCTGTAGCCTCATTAATAATGCATCTGTAGCCTCATTAGTAATGCACCTATAGCCTCACCAATAATTCATCGGTAGCATCATTAGTAATACACCTGCAGCCTCATTAATAATACATCTGTAGCCTCATTAGTAATGCATCTGTAGCCTCACCAATAATGCATCTGTAGCCTCACCAATAATGCATCTGTAGCCTCATTAATAATGCATCTGTAGCCTCATTAATAATGCATTTGTAGCCTCATTAATAATGCATCTGTAGCCTCATTAATAATGCATTTGTAGCCTCACCAGTAATGCATCTGTAGCCTCATTAATAATGCATCAGTAGCCTCATAGTGGCCTCGACGAGGACAGGAAGCCGGCGGCCTGTCGAAGGTCACCTTCGATAAGGGATGAAGTGGCGGCAACTTTCCCCTTCACTTGGCCAACTTGTGTTTGTAAACAACGGGCGAGTCACGTGCGCGTCCTGCTTTTTGTGAGAGCGAGTGAGCCAGTTGTTGTTTTAGATTCAGGTACTCGGAACAAATAGTTTCAAGTAGCACTCGGTGGGTGCTATTCTTCGACTATTTTAATAATAAGTACTGTATTTAATCATTTAATTGGGTAGCACTGCGGGCTATGGTGAGCCTGTAGTGGGCTTACCTTATTTATTTATACATATACAAGAATGTACATTGGGAATGTGAGGATACATAATATGGTAATTACAGTCTTGTAAAGCCACTAGTACGCACAGCGTTTCGGGCAGGTCCTTAATCTAAGAAAATTTTAAGGAGGTAAATACTTGCAAAATTTATAGACAAAAAAATGATAACAGTTACATGGAATGAAAAAAAGATGAGAGAAAATTGTAGGTACAGTATATTAAAGCACATAGGTAGCTAAGATTGATTGCAATGACAGCTTGAATGGTAGTTGACAAAAATTGGTAGGCACAATACAGCAGAAACAATATAAACAATACAATACCTGGCACAGGAGCGGGGCTGTAACTGGGATGGTTGAGTGAGCGAGCGAGTGACTGGGGTATCAAGGCAATTAGCACTTACAGCAGTGACCCTAACCCCTACAGGCACGAGCGGGCGGCGGGCGGATTTCAGACATGGAGGGTTCCCCAAGTTCCCAGCGGCGTCGGTGGAAGCGGCAAGCGTGAGAGACGACCTGCCCCTGCCAGAGACGCCCTCCTGCGGTCGCACCGGCTCCCCAAGGATTGTCGGGGGCGCGGTCGCCACTTACGGCAGCAACCCCTGGCAGGTAGACTTGACCCAATTTTCCCTAAGTGTTTCTAGAGCTTGTGTAGCACGCACTTGTGTCGAACAATGTCAAACATTTTCTGATAGTCGAGGAATATGCAATCTGCCCGTTCCTTCCTATCGGTTTATTTTCATCTCTTAGAACTCTAATAAGTTTGTCAAACAGGATTTTACTTCGCTGAATTCATTCTGGTGTTTAGAAACAAAATACAGCTGTTTGAAGTGTTTTGTGAAGTATATTTAGATCAGTCTCAACTGACTTGCTAGGTCTACAGCTCCCATCAGTATCCGCGGTGATACTTTGTGTCTTTGTTCACATTCAGCTCGTGCGTGAGTGTGTATACTCACCTAGCTGTGCCTACAGGATCGAGCACTGACTCTTGGATCCCGCCTTTCTAGCCACCAGATGTTTATAACAATGACTCCTGTCCTATTCCCCTATCATATCTAGTTTTAAAATTATGAAAAGAGTTTGCTTCCACAACCTGCTTCTTAAGTTCATTCCATTTTTCCACTATCACGCTAAAAGAAAACTTCCGAACATCTGTGACTCGTCTGAGTTTCCAGCTTCCACCCATGTCCCCTCGTTCTGTTAGTATTCAGTGTGAGGATTTCGTGCGGGCTATGATGAGCCCGTAGTGGACTTACCTGGCACAGGAGCGGGGCTATGGTGAGCCCGTAGTGGACTTACCTGGCACAGGAGCGGTGCTGTGTGTAACCTGTAGGTGTGTCACAGTTTCTTGCTGCCGGATATATAGGCGGGGATGAGGAGAGGTGCAGCACCTCACTTATTGGGCAATTGGTCTATTGCATCTTACCCATCTCCTGTTTCCATGCTGCGGCCCTCATATCGTACAGGGGGTACCATAACCACTTCAAAACAGATCGTCTATAATGATTGCTGTCATGGAGCTTATTAACTAAGCAATCCCTAACGACACTCTTGGTGCAATTTTGGGCATGTTCTCATCAATCACTTGAACATGCTCAGGCAGCGCTTAGCCTATAAATGTGAACCAATAATTACACCACGCATGTCGTCAGGGATTGCTTAGTCATGGAGCTTAGTTAATAAGCTCCATGACTGAGCAATCCTTGGAGATCATCTGTGGTGAAATGGTTACGGTACTCTGTTCACCTGGGGGTGATCCCAGGCGATCGGAGTTCGAATCCTGGTAGGGTTCTAGAGCTATTAATATGTGTGTGTACATACCCCCCCCCCCCACACACACACAACCATCAACATGGCCACCACCATCCCCCATCACCACCAGAGTCCTCCTTCACAGGTGATGATCGAGGTGTACCGACGAGGAGAGGGCTTCACCCACCACTGTGGAGGCGCCATCATCTCCAGCTCCCATATCATTACCGCCGCCCACTGCCTCCAGGTCCCGGGGCTCACTCGTCACGACTACCGCATCAAGGTCATTTCTCCTTCTTGTATATTATTAACACACTTGAGTACACACACACACACTGGGAAGACGGGACACCACGAGCGTAACTCTCATCCTGTAACTACACTTAGGTAATTACACCAATGTCCAGCTTCCCTATTCTGTATGAAGGATTAAAACTGTTCGTATTAGTGGCTTCAGGCATAGTATGTACTAGCTCTATTTATTAATCCAACATTATATCTGTAACTCATTTTCAATGTACCTTTACCTGAATAAACATCTTATCTTACATAGTATGGATCAGAAGTTAGCTAAGATAGCCAAGACATTTAGCATTGGAATTCGGGAAAAATTCCCTGAAAGTTAGAATTAAGCCTAAACCCGGTGGAAAAAATTTTCAATTACGGTAATTATAACAACACAATAACAATATAACAACTATAAATAACACATAAGTGTTATTATTTGCTGTATCTTAGGAGTAACAGACAAACATGACAATTATAAAGTATCCAGTCATGAAAAATGAAAAATACTAAATTATTTACTAACATTATTGTTTACTCTTACAGCTTTCTTATAACCTTTTATGTATAATTCTAAAACAAAGCAAGCAAATAAACAACTTTTTTGTACCAAAAGTATAAATTATCTAGAAATTAATAATTATATTTACGACTTTTTTTTTCTCTAAAACCATTAACCCGACATTGAACCTGCTAAGGACCACTTTTGTAGAAAATTAAATTTCCTTTTAAAAGTATCCGTTAACTATTTAGCTAAAATTGACAAAAAAAAAAGAGATATTTGACAAAAACACATTTTCAGCGCCATTTTTTCTCGCCAAGACGGCGCGGAGCTCACGTCTCACGAGAGGGGAAACCTAGCAATTCATACAATAGAATTAATACGGTTTCAGCTTTCTTGTATTTTTTCCGAATTGCCATTATTTTTTTGGCTTGACTGGGTTACGAGTTCGTCTAACATGCCCATCTCATAAGATGGTTAGTCATGCAAAGACTCAGGAGAAAACATGAGATGAGAGTTTAGTCTACCAGCCTGCACTAGCAACTCTGGGCACAGCACAAGAATGTCTTATACAGCTTTGTCTTTTTATGTTCCGCTGTGTTTGTGCTGTGAGTGTGTGCCTGTGGCACAGCTGGGCTTCAAGTGTGTGTGTGTGTGTGACACAGCTGGGCCTCAAGTGTGTGTGTGTGTGGCACAGCACAGCTGGCCCTCAGTGTGTGTGGCTAACATAACCATCATCCACAGGTGGGAGACCATGACCGGAACGTCTGGGACCCAGCCGAGCAGATGTTTGAGATTGACTCCTGGGTCATCCATCCCGAGTTCGGTGTAGGTGAGTACGGGGAAGGAGGCGCCTGAAGAACCGGCGGAAGGGCTGGAGTAGAGGAGGAGGTGGGGGAGGGGTAAGGAACGAGGTGCTGGGTAACCAAGGGTGTGAAGGGGGAGAAGAGAAGAGCCTGTTAATATCTTCAGTTATAACCTTAAGTAATCAAGACTTGCAGAGGTGAAGGGCAGTGATGCTTCCAGGGGTTCTTCTTCGATGCTTCAAATGTGCTAGTCTTGTGGAATGATCCGTGTAGTTATTGGCTAAGTACTCCATGTCCAGAGCATGTTTTCACTGCGTCCCGGACATATTTCTTGAATATAACGTGTTCTTTGTTCCTGATTCATGTATAGATTTCTGCGTGTTTATCTGTGATTTTTTTGTCAATGTGATTTGTCCCAGTCTTAGTCTACCTAAGAAGTCTTTTTAATCTACCTTTTAGTCTACCTACCTACCGAGAAGCAGTCTCCGTGGTGTAGTGGTAAGACACTCGCCTGGCGTTCCGCGAGCGCTATGTCATGGGTTCGTATCCTGGCCGGGGAGGATTTACTGGGCGCAATTCCTTAACTGTAGCCTCTGTTTAACGCAACAGTAAAATGTGTACTTGGATGAAAAAACGATTCTTCGCGGCAGGGGATCGTATTCCAGGGACCTGCCCGAAACGCTACGCGTACTAGTGGCTCTACAAGAATGTAACAACTCTTGTATATATCACAAAAAAAAAAAAAATAAGACTACCATCCAGATCTTTTGACCCAAGTTAGTTAATGGTGAGACTGTTCCATTAACCGTAGTTTATGACTATAACCTGCAAGTGTACTTTACACTCAAGTCTCCAAGAGTTGGTAGTTGTGCCTGGATAATGTTATTTCATTTTATGTTGCGTTCTTAATCGAGTGTCGTATTTTAGAATGTGTAGGTGTTTGTGAAGGTTTCATAGTAGATAATAAAGGGGCAAACCACCCTAGCCTCCCCCTGGTGTTACCACTGGTGTAAAGGCAATATATCCCTTATCTTTCCCCACTGGTTTAAGGTCAAGAGACCCCTTATCTTCCCCCTGGTGGTACCACTGGTAGAAATGCAAGAGTGTGACTCCTAATGTCCCCAATATTGTAATGATAAAAGACTCCTTACACTCCCACCCTGGTGTAAAGGCAAGAGTATGTCCCCATAGACGCTCCCCCCATTGTCTCCAATGGTGTAAAATGGGAAACCTCCCACTGTAGCTCCTCCTGATGGGGTAACCTCAGAACTGTTGTCAACACTGTAGCTCCTCCTGGTGGGGTGACCTCAGACCCGTTGTCAACACTGTAGCTCCTCCTGGTGGGTGACCTTATAAGTAACCAACATTGTTTCTACAGGTGGTCACTACAACAACGACATAGCAGTGGTGAAGGTGCTCCCTCAGCAAGGCAAAGGCTTCCAGATGTCCAGATTTGTGAGCCCAGCGTGTCTGCCCTCGCCCTCCACCCCCTACGTGCCCGGCACCAAGTGTCGGGTCGCCGGCTGGGGACTTACTGATGGCAAGTCCTATACTTATCCTGTACCTAATTGTTCTCATAACACATTGTGACTTGCCTCCATGTTCCTGCCTCATACCCAGCTCTCATCTTCTATACTGGCACACAGCTCTCATAGTGTTTCTCTAACCAATTATTTTTCATTTAATAAATATATTTAACATACTAGCCTAGAAAAAGTTAGTTTTGCCCTCTTGGGGTGCGATAGTCGACATTTGTACTTTGACCCGTAGTACCAATAGGCACTGTAACATCATCTTTGAATAACAAGCTGCATCACATAATCTTCCTTAAAGTACAGTGCTCTGTACTTTAAGGAAGATTAAAGATATAATAATCCGAGAGATATAATAGTAATTCATTTTGTCAGGGACAGGCAGCCTGTGGATATAAGTTAGACATATCGAGATCTGTGCCAGGTCAAACTACTGACCTTCTCCAGGGTGCAAGCCCACAACTTGACTAACTTCTGGGTACCTACTTTATTTATTTATTTATTTATTTATTTATTTAGTTATTTATATACAAGAAGATACATTGGGTTTGTGAGAATACATAGCATAGTATTTACAATCTTGTAAAGCCACTAGTACGCGCAGCGTTTCGGGCAGGTCCTTAATCTAACAGATAATTTTATCTGTTAGTACTTACTGATAATACTTACGGCTAGGTGAACTGAGGCATTAGGTGATAGGAAGGGAAGGGAATTATCAGGGAGAAAGCACCAAGTCATTACGACTATATAGCACATGGAAGGGGTCAGAATAAGGATTTGGAATGGGATGGGGGGGGGGTTAAGAATAGTGCCGAACCACTTTGACGGTCAGGGATTGAACGCCGAGCTCCGTGAAGGGAGACCGTCGCTCTGCAGTCCAGCCCAAGTGGTTGGATGATAGGAAGCGTGCCCAACCATTTCACTCCCACCCGGGATTCCTGACTGAGTCGACAATGAACCCAACTGTAGTGAATAATATACACTTCACTATATCCCATTTCTCCGGGATTCTCATCTCCTCAGATTCAGTCAAATACAGCAACTTTCATATCTCTCCACAGCTGAGGACTTCTTCTCGAAGACGGATGTGTTACACAACACAGAGATCCTCCTCTTGTCGAACACTGACTGCCAGGAGATGCTTGGGTCCCGAGGCTATGGTCCTGGTATGATCTGTGCAGGATACCTTGACGGGAAGAAGGACTCCTGTAATGGCGACTCCGGGGGTCCTCTTGCGTGTAATATTGATGGTAAGTCATCTCAACTCTTCTGGGTTGTGATGAGATCTGCCATTTATGTGTATTTTATTTTGTGTTTGATAGGGAATTAGGTATACTTAGGGGTGCCTTCTCGCCATGCCCTGTGGCTGGGGGGATTGGTGCCCTGAAGACATAAACCCTGGCACATAAACACCCTATACCTCCTCCCCCTTCCCGAAGTGGCAAGGGGAGTTAGGGGACAACATCACCAACAACAAAATGACTCTTCAGCCACAGAAGGTAGACAGAATGGTCCTGCTGAAATGAGCATACATGGCCCAGTTGAATCAAATAATATTACTTTTTAAGCTTTCCATATAGGAACAACAATTTTTTTTTAATTATACCTTTTTTCTGCATAAGATGAAGCTTTTAGGTCTACAGTATGTACAGATTTTATTAATAACAATCTCTCGCAGGTCATGTGCTCGCCTCACACCTGGTTTCTTCATCACAATGTTTACCCCAGAATCTGCAAAATGTTTTACAATCAAATCTCTCAATAATTGCTGGATGCGTACCTCGCGGGCAGTCCCTGGGCGGGGAGGATTGTCTGTGGATCGATCCTTAACAATTCACCTTTATTGACCCAGGAATAATTGGGGATCTGGTTGTAAACCGATTGGTGGTTTGTGTTCCAGGGATAAACTAGTGGGGTATGGCTTAAGATGAGCTATTAGAAGGGAAAGTTCTAAGCCTGTTTATAAGTCACAAGCCATTTTCTGTACACACTTGCATAAAAAGCAAGATTAAGACAGCATATGAATAACCTCCAGTGCTGCCCAATACTGTATTTGAAATCAGGTTGTGTGGGTTGCCAGGCGAGCATGTCGACCACTGCAACACGGTGCCCCTCATAGCACTCAACCTTCACACACTGCATGCACACAGAAGGTGACACAATTACATCACATGTCAAATGTAAACACATCCTATTAGGAATAATGCTGCACATTCATTTGTTTCACTGTAATTATAATTCTGTGTAATATGTTACAGGTTCATACACTCTGATGGGCGTGGTGTCGTGGGGCAAGAATTGTGGCAAGGCTCGCCAGCCAGGAGTGTACTCACACATACAGTACTACCTGGATTGGATCCACAGTGTCTTATAAACCAGGAGGACCTACAGTGATGCTGGCCACTCCCTCGTCGTGCTGCCTCGCCTTGCTGTGGTCTCACCTACAGTGATGCTGGCCTCTCTCCCTCCTCGTACTGCCTCGCCTTGCTGTGGTCTCGCCTACAGTGATGCTGGCCTCTCTCCATCCTCGTGCTGCCTCGCCTTGCTGTGGTCCCCTTCATCAGTTGGGCTGTACTGTGCTTCACACATCTTCAGCACTAGCTTACAAACAACTAGCCAGAATGAAAAGGAGATGAATAATATTAGATATAAAGATGGCGAAGATAGCCAGCAAGTTCAGTAAAGACAAAGTTGTTGTAAAGATGGTGAAGGTTGTTCGCAAGGTCAGTAAAGTGGTGAAGGCAGTTAGCAAGGTCAGTAAAGTGGTCACAGTAGTTTGCAAGGTCATTATGGACTATTTACAAAAAAACAGTAGCCATTATTATGCCTACAGCTACCCTAGTTTTAGACAATTTAATGATGCCAAATACAATATTCTCGTCACATATTTTGCACAAGAACTGAACAGGCCTGACTCTAATAAAAACGAAAGAGAATAACACAAACTTAATGAGATTAACTAAGCAATTACGATATAAATTTTAGTCATAACAATTCCACGAGTTTCCTAAATACTGCAGAGCATTTAGGATGCAATGTGTAAATACACATTGAAACAATCGTGAATGTTTCTCAAGTGTCCCTCAATGAATTGGGTGGATGGGATGAAATCATGATTCAACACTAGCAAAATCTTTGCCACTGTGTTTAGGACTATTTAATATGGGCAAGTTCTCACCTGTACACTGTACTGGATGTATGGAATCGACTTGAGAATGGTCCAGGATGGACCGAAACGTCGTCATCCCTTCACCTTCTAGTGTGTGGTTTGGTCAACATTTTTCAGCCACGTTATTGTGACTCATCGCCTGCATATGTATGCATTAACAACCAACGTTATCATCCACAAATTACATATAAAGTTCATACAGAAAGTCATCAGATAAACATCATGCCAGAGGAAAATGTCCCTGAATGTGCTTCACAGTTTATGCAAGGCTGGATGACAGCAGTGGTGGCTGACACCAGTGGTGGATGACTCCGGTGAGGAACAACCTTCCTGGAAAGTTGAGATATACATAGCCGTGATAAAAAGGTTGACGAAAAACGCCACCATTGTTATGTTGTTATATTAAGAACCGAATCCAATACCAGTTTGATTACTAAATAAATGATAAATTTGTTGAGATACTTTAAATGTGTAATTACTAGTCTCTTGTCTTCTTCACACAGCACTTGCTACACAAACTAGGCCTAGTAAGCAAGGACAGTAGGCATGTTGCCAAACAGCCAACACAATTTTGAATATAAGTAATAATAATTTGTAATAATTTTCTATCTCTTCCAAACGTTGTATGTTCCAGATGAAAAAACAGTACATTAACAGTACATCAGTATGCCTGTTATTTCTAAACTATTCCTAAGCAAATTAGTAACAGAATGTAAACAATACAATATTTTTATTACATTCAATACAGACAAGTGTTGTCATACTGTAAAACATACTAAAGTAGTCTGGTTATTGGGGAAAATTACCCTTTGTGCACTAGGCCTAGTTTTTGTAGTTTGATTATTGTGTGTGTGTGTATATATTTATATACTTTACAACCACTAGAAATTAGAAACATAATGAAGACATTTGACCATCATGGACTTCTGTTTCTAATTTCAAGTTGTCTTCTACACATATGTGCACAAGTTTGCAAATACTTAATGCCTCATTCCTTCACGGAAGTGAGTGACTATGATAATTTAGGACATGTTAGCCAAGTGAGAGGGTTGAACGCGTGTGTGAAGAACACGATTGGGTGTGTGCGCGCGTGTGTGGTCAAGGTGTGCTCTAAATCTTCATGTGTGTGTATACAGGCTCTCTGATCATGCATAATCAGATTTACCTTATTTAAATTACAAATACAGCATATGTTATTTATTTTCTTATCGTCATTTTCTTATGTATGAATGAAGAATTTTGTGAAATGTAATGTTAATCTAAATTGTGATTTTATCTTAATCACCCTATTTGAAGTAATCATATTGTCAGCACAAATGATGAAATAAACTGGTACTGAGCAGCAGGTGTAGACTACTGTTATGGTACTGAGCAGCAGGTGTAGACTACTCTTATGGTACTGAGCAGCAGGTGTAGACTACTCTCATGGTACTGAGCAGCAGGTGTAGACTACTCTTATGGTACTGAGCAGCATCAAAGGCTGGTACACATAGACAAACATTACATTTCACAACATTGAGCAGGAGATGGGATGGTGTCACAGAACATAATACTGGGCATTTGTCATTTGAGCAATATGAGACCATGTAACCTTAAATTGTATGCCAGTCTAATGTGTCTATATCAAAACCTGTGATTTAGTTAAGTTGTACAGCACTGTGTGGGAAAAATGCATTGATTGAACAAATCTTGCAATTTCTGGTTTTCAGTGCTATAGTGTTGTTAGTATCTGCATCAACAGCAGCAGAGCTTTTTAATTGGTTGTTGAACAATAAGTTGAACAGTTTTGTTTTACCTGTCATTGACAACAGCATGCCTAAGATGCAATGAACTTCTGTCCACTTACAAATAACTTCCCATCTTCTTATCTTTACTATTGTATATTATATACAGAAACAGTATTTATATCTATTTTTTTTAAGTCTTACTATATTTTAATGATACAATTTATCTATCTTTGCATATGACATTTAAATGTTGCCCAGACATAAATGAGATTTGGACACATGATTTGCCTGTGAATACCTAGTCAATGGATTAAAAGTCTATACATTTATCTGTTGCATTATTACAGACACCATCTTTTTGTTTATATATGTGCATATATATATATATATATGTTATACGAGTCATTAGCCCTTGGACCCTGTCTTTTTAACCGAAGCATATTTTTTCTCAATGCCTACTACATATATTTCTCTCCAACACACACGTGCGCACACACACCATGCATGTGCCCCACGTTACAGCACATGTGAAAAAGCTTGCAGGGGGGTTTGGGCAAAATATGACCCATCGCCGTTTTCAGTAATTGGCATATTTTCGGTATAAAAAGTCGTAATTTGAAACTGAAAATAGGTGCAGAGTCAGAATTCGGCTCAAAAATCACGCTCAGGAGTCAAATTTCCGACATTTCAGATATTTTGAAAACTGCAGGGGGGTTTGGGCAAAATATGACCCATTGCCATTTTCAGTAATTAGCTTATTTTCGGTATAAAAAGTCGTAATTTGAAACTGAAAATAGGGGCAGAGAGTCAGAATTCGGCTCAAAAATCTCGCTCAAGAGTCAAATTTCCGACATTTCAGATATTTTGAAAACTGCAGGGGGGGGTTTGGGCAAAATATAAAGTAAAGTTACATATGGTTGCTCTCTAGGTCAAGTGTTATCGAGTCCCCGTTTAGAGGCATGTAAACAACAGCAGTCAGGACATAATAATGCCATAAACACAGTTTTATCAATTTTATATTGAAACAAAAATGTCAGCAAGTTTCGACATGGTAATTATGTCCATTACCACAAGATATTGGTGTATACTGAACCACTGCCAACTAAACCAGAGGACAGAGGCAGCAACAATTATAATAACCGCACTATTATATACAACTGATAATGGCCTATAATCCACAACCATTCTTCCTTTATATTATTTATAAAAATACTAAATAGTTAGTGGATAATATCAGCCAATTACATCAGTATGTTATATATTATAATGAAAATAAAGAGAATCATGTCTCACTGTAAACCAAAAACCATAAATACGTCACATTGTCAACGTGTCGGAGAAATTTAACATATTCACAGGTTTTCAAAACTAGCAAAATGTATTAAGAATACAAATTTATGTGTAATAAAACAGATGACAAGGTGAAATATTACTGGAGGTTTTTAACAAAGCTACATATTCTATACCATGTGACCCACAGAATGAGTTATTGACACACTTAACCCAGAGGGAGGATCTTTCAAGCTTTGATTCTCACTTAAGATAAACAGAGAAACTCAAGATTTGAATGTTAAGCTTGATACTATAGTTTGCAATCATGTACACTATACTGTAGTGGACAGCAATTCCACACACACAAATCTCTCAAATTAATTTCCCTCTTTCCTACACTTGGGGTGGCCAGAGATAACTAGGTTAAGTAACACGGACACGACAATTGCTTAGGGGATAGTCAAGTACAACAGAGATTAGAAACCATAGAATACAATGCAAAAAAGTGTACTAGAGATGATTTAGGTGGAAACAATTCCGTGGAGAGTTGAGCAACAGAGCTTGTTGTGGGTTACCAGTCATACGGTATGTGCTGCACCATCTTATGTGCGTCTTATTTCTTGCTAGCATTAGTGTTCACTGTCTTTCAAGAACTTGTTGTATGCTTCTTCATCCATCAGCTCGTCTATTTCTGCTGGAACTGTCAACTCTAACTTGAATAACCATCCTGTAACACCAGATTTGTATTTAAAGAACATTTTATTACAAATTAAGTCAAATTTGTAAATGTAAATCTGCAATTAAGTGAATTATATGTATATACAGTTCTGTATAGTAGAACCTCAAACATAATAATTATGTCTAAATGCACTGCAATCTGTCAGTCGTCTATAAAGTTTTTTTTTTTTTACATTACTGTATATTGGACAAAATATGGACTTCAGATGATATATATATTTTTTTCCAAACAAAATATAAAGTGTGTTGCTCACCAAGTCAAGATCCTACTAAACCCTAGTTAGAATCGTGTACAGACAGGCACATGTTTCACTAGCACATGCCTGTCAGGTGCTAGTGTTTCACTAGCACCAGTCTGACCCCTTGCTGGGTCAGACTGGTGCTAGTGAAAGACTAGAGAATACTCAATCCATTCAAGTATCAAAAGAAGGAACCAAGTTGGGAAGATTATGTAGTGCCGTCTGTGTCACTGGATATTCAAAAGGTTCTAAATATCACTCAAGATGCCAATTTAAGAACAGAAGGAAATTAGGCGAGTGATACCAAAGGTATTTTTTCACCACTGAGGGACAAATACCCCTACGAGATATAAGAAAGCAAGACATACGGGCATTCTCTACATGCAGGTGCACGACTAAGTAGAAGAATACAGTTTTGACAAAAGGAAGCAGGACGTTGTTCCACTGACCGAGTTAAGTAGGTGTGATTGATATGCAACATAGCCAAAGCCATTTCCCATTGCCTATTACCGTGGTAGGATGAAAACCAAAGGAAGAAGTCAATTTTAAGAACATATAGTTCATTACCTGTAATGCCAGTCTACCAACCCTGCCAATGATCATGTACAGTATTGCAGAATGAATGGCTGGGTTAGAAACCCAAATAAGGAACCCCTTTTTGGGAAACGTTGCAAGCACAAATGGTCTCCTTAGCACCAATGTTCACATGTTTATACATGGTAACTAATATGGCTAAGAACCCAACAAAATTCTACTCTTCTGTCTGCTAGAGACAAGAACAAAGGTGAGCTTCTTCAAAAAGCAATTAGATAGGTTCTTGCAAGAAGTGCCGGACCAAATGGGTTGTAGTGGATGTGGGCCTGAAGGCTTCTCCATGCAACAGCCTGATGGACTAAGTTATCACAAGTCGAACCTGGCCACAGGCCAAGTTTGGAAAGTAGAACAACTCCCGGAACCCTCTCCAGTGGGTTAAGGAGAACTTTATCAATATACAGTACCCTAAATCATCTGTTTGACATCTATCACATTCAAGATATCTCACTCTTTAAAAAGCTCTAAATGTCAACTGAAAGCAGCACATGCAAGTGTGGATATGTGCAACAAGAGTCAGTGTGTGACGCCACCTCCAAAGCGTCACGAACTAATGACTAATGATGCTACCAACTCAACACTCAACCAAAGCATAGTAGGAACATAACGAGTCATTGGTGATGATGCATTAACAGGAACATATTAGCTGATGATAATCTACTAGGAAAGATAAAGATTTAGACAACTGTCATGCCCTTCAAGATGACCTGGATAAAATGAGTATGGAGAACACTTGGCAGATGAAATTCAACATTAATAAATGCCATGTTATGGAATGTGAATTAAGAGAAAATAGGCCCCACATAACATGAAATAATGTAAAAAGGCATTAAAGAACTTGGACAAAGGAAGATACCTCTAGGGGTCTCAAAGGAAGAGACCAGAGGACCACAAAGGATATTGTGAGATGAGCCTATGCTGCACTTTCCAACTTCATAATTGGTTTTAAATATATGGACGGTGAAATACTGAAGAAATTGCTGACTACTTTTGAGAGACCAAAATTGAAATATGCAGCAATTATCTGGTGTCCATATCTCAGAGAGATAATCAGTTAACTGGAAAAAGGTGCAGACATGCTATTAAATGGGTTCTGGAACTGAAAAAACAAGAGCTATGAGGAGAGGTTAGAAGTGTTAAATATGCCAAAACTAAAAGATTGAAGAGGAAGGGAACTGTCAGGAGAAAGTGCCAAGTCACTATGACTATATAGCACTTGGAAGGGTTCAGGATAATGATTTGGGATGGGGGAGGAGGGAAGGAATGGTGCCCAACCACATGGACGTCAGGGATTGAACGCCGACCTGCATGAAGCGAGACCGTCGCTCAACCATCCAGCCCAAGTGGCAAGACCAAGAACATTCAAGGAAAAGAAGCGATTCGATCACTACGTATAAAATAGTAACAGTAATCGGCAAAATTGACATTCTTTAAACCTACAACTTCAAGAACAAGAGGACATAGATTCAACCTATGGAAACAAAGAGGGTAAAAAAAAATTAAAAACATCTCTTTTGAAGACTTTGATCAGGCCTGCAGGGGCCCTCCCAGAAAAAAACATTATAATGCCAAATTTGTCCTTATAGAGTATTGTTATTTCTTGTTATTTTCCATTTCAATAAGAATAATGAATGCTTATTTCATATTATCCATTAAAGCAATCATAATCCTGACAAACTCTGAACATGAACTATACTAATAAGTAATTCCAAAGGATATGGATCTCTACTCCAGGTGTCTTTTTCCTTTCACAGTTGCCAGGCCCAAACTCCTATTCTGAAGGCCAGACATTGGGATGAACATTCTAGGAGGTTCAAAGAATTGTTTCAATATACTGTATCTTTTAAAATTTGCCTATAGGAGTTAACATTTTTCCATGAAGTCAGCATTCCTACTAATAGCAATGAAAGGGGTTAAATTTTCCCTTTCACTAGCTACTTCAACACATTAATATTTAGTTCACACAATTTCCTCCATTCACTATCATAAATTCACCTGTATGCACATGAATAGTCTTCTCTCACATCTCGGTAATATTTTAAACTGGCCTCCGTGACACACTCGCACGCTGTGCCTCGCAACCTCCATAAGACACAGGAAATCTGGGCTTGGAACCCAGGTTGGTCAATTGCTGCAGCCTTGTGGCAGCTAATGGGGGTTAGCCAGGCATGCAAATGACAACCTCCATTTGGCAAAAACTTGTCATCTCCAAGACAGGGCTGGGAAAAGCTCCATGCTTTGATGAATGCCCATCTGCCACTGGGCTGGATTGTGTTTTTCTCTTGTGACTTCCAATCACCCGTTGTGACCTTGCAGGAATGCTTGAATATTCCCTGTGGCACCAGTGCCTGAGTATTTTACTGCCTGATTGTTCATGATCCTGTCAAGTGACAAAACCAGGGTTACCCAATAGGCTTCTGGCATAAGTTATAGGAAAACTACAAAACTAAGAGTATAAGATTTTCTACATAATAAAAACCAAAGCCTTCAAAATGTGGGATATACCTTCATCATAACAGCTCTGGTTAATAAGTGCTGGAAGATCCTCAACAGCAGTGTTGATGGCAGTCACTTTGCCAGACACAGGAGAGTAGAGTTCACTCGCAGCCTTCACACTCTCAAGCGCGCCACACTCCTCTGTACACATTTGACTAGTATTAGCAATAGGCTCATTAATTAAAACAAACTTTATTAACAGTAAAATGCTAGAAATTCTTTTTGAAATGTTAAGGCAACTTCCATCATTTTTTTAATTCTAATTTCTCTCTCGGTAAAATATAAGGTACAAGTAGTGGCTCGCACAGATCAACCTGTGCATGACTGATCCCTGCATTCCTTCATCGAGAAACTCAATTTAATTCCTTCCAATTAGTTACAAAAACAAAATTCTTTGCTTTACTTAGAAAATATAGAAGGGTTATGCAGCTACTATTTGCCTACTTGGTTTAAATTTTGAAATGTAATAAAAAATATAGAGAAAGCACAGTTTATTCAAAGGAAATGGTTCCTGAAACCTTGCAGAATATTATGTTATAGATATGAAAAACTTCTCTTTCACTTGCTTAATTTCTGCTATGCATGAAAATATAATTAAATTGCATTTTAAACACTGGAATGTATACGTCATGCGAGTATTCATGCTATAAATACTAAAGAAAAATAATTAATAGAAACAAACTGCACCGACTGCAAGTCAGCAACAATCATGGTAAAACTCATATCTACATAACTGCAACGTTATTTAATGTACCCTCAAACACTGATGGATAAAACCTGACCCTATTTATCGGTGAATTTACTTGACATACTGTACATTTCTTTCTGGGGGGGAGCCACATGGGACTCCCCCCTTAGAGAGGTAGGTTACTGATGAAGAAATTTATATTACAGATACCATAATAACCATAAACATTGCTTTGATGTGCTTATACAATTGCATGTATTCACTACAAATGATAAGCATAAATTATCAATCCCAGCTCAGTTTGCTGGCAGGTAAAGTAACACTTAATAGAGCACCCACGCATGTGAAATCCCACAGCTGTGCATTCTTGTTAATATGCAACAGTGGGAAGCAGTGGATGCTGTCCTTCATATTAAGTCTACAGCATCAGCTCCTAACCAGTTACACTATGTTATATTATACATATATATATATACATATATATATATATACATATACATATACAGTTATATGACAAAGAGTGCTGGGAAGATGGGACACCACGAGCGTAGCTCTCATCCTGTAACTACACTTAGGTAATTACTAGTGGCAATAGCATAATGATAATAAATCATCCTTATTTCATTGGGTTATAGCAGCTTGTCCTCGAGTTTGTTAGTTCTACAAGGAACTCACATACACCTAGTGCATTTTACTACTACTTTACAGTCTCCGTGGTGTAGTGGTAAGACACTCGCCTGGCGTTCCGCGAGCGCTATGTCATGGGTTCGTATCCTGGCCGGGGATGATTTACTGGGCGTAATTCCTTAACTGTAGCCTCTGTTTAACGCAACAATAAAATGTGTACTTGGATGAAAAAACGATTCTTCGCGGCAGGGGATCGTATTCCAGGGACCTGCCCGAAACGCTACGCGTACTAGTGGCTGTACAAGAATGTAACAACTCTTGTATGTAACTACTATTTTTAGAGTACCTTCATGTACTGGGCCTAGTGATTATGAGAAGTGTTCCTCCTCCTTTTCTTCAACCACCTGGATTAGGATTATTAAGGTTCCTTTAATAGTCTTTTGGTACACTGGCAAAAGTGAACCTTTTCAATCTTTTCTTTATAATTTGGTTTATAGCATACATGCTGAAAAAATATCAGTTTTTTTTTAATTAAATACTTTTAACAATTACAACAAACTCAATATACAAGTTGTAGACCATAGTTGCCTCCCCCCCCTAAAAAAGTTGGCAATAACTTCATAAATTTCAAATTTAGCTAAAAAAAAATTGTAATTTAAAAACTTATAATTTGTTAACAAATAGGGGGCAGGCAGCCAACCGGAAATTTGATCCCCATATCTCTGAAGCTAATTAATCAAAATTACTAACAATTTACACAAGTTAATAACTCATATTCAACTTCAAGTTTCAGGAAAATCCAAGATGGGACAGTGGAAAGTTTTTTTTTTTTTTTTTTGGGGGGGGGGGGAGGAGAGGAACATCTATCCTGGAATGTATATATTCAAAGTTCATGTCTCAAAGCGGCCCATTTGCAATACAATGCTCAAATAATCTCCGCTGGTAAATTATTGCTAGGCTGTCGGAGACAACCCAGAGAAAATAATGACAAAAAAAAAAGCCAGCTAAAAACTAACAAAATTACTGTATATCCCATCTATATACCATATCTTATACACTACACAGCAACATAAGAGAACCAGAAATCATCCACAGCAGCACTACACAGCTTACAAACAGTATCAAGTAAAACTATTACACTTTGCTACCAATAACTGTAAACCTTCACTTTGCTTTTTATTTACAAAAATATAGTTTCTTGGGGGGGATGGGGGGAGGGCCACCAGATAGAGGTACAGGTACTTACCCATTTGTTCATATGCGGTACCCACTTCTGGCAGCTGAGCATACACAATATCTCCGAGCGATTCCTGAAATTGGGAAAAATGTATCGGTAAATATAGAGGGCTCTCGAGTAGGCTCTCGAGTAGCAGCTTGGCAAATGATCAATACAAGGCAGTAGTAACTGGTTTACCCAGGGAAGTAGAGAATGTACTTTTGTTTGATGCGCGTTTACAAAATTACCCTAATCCACAGGAACTTTATTTGTGGAGTTCAGAATACCAAGGTTGTTTTAATTTATAGTTTTTAATGATTTCAGTTTGATAAAGCCTTAAATAACAAAAGCCACAACTTTTAGCAAGTAACTTTCATAAACACTTGGTTCATGCTTACAACAATGATACTACCCTACAATAACATGTTTAGATATTACCAGTAAAAGTCATACACTACCTTTACAGGTACACTAATGCTTTATATGTTCATGACTACACATGAGAGACCATTGCATATACTGTATTACACACACATTGATTCCAGCAAGAGTTCCGTCATGTCCTTCAAAGAAAACTGCCTGTAAACCAGTATTTACAAGCTTTTGTTTTTTATCCTGCTTCATTAAATGCATGTTTGTCACACGCACACAATCTCTTCCATCCTGTACTTTGCCCTACTTTCCATATCAATTTTCTTTTGGAAACTATAAATATATTTTGTATAACATTTCAAAATTGTGTGGGTGTTGCAGATTAGGACCTGCTCAAGTCTGATTTAGGATTTTTGGTTGACTTGCCTGTTCTTTATGCAGGCGACTCTTGCTCTGCTAGGATGTGCCAAACTGAATGGTGTTGGAGAGTGCCTAGGTTATTCAGCCACTCCTGAATAATTTAGGCACTCTCCAAGCAGCTGAGCAGGAGCCAAAACTTCCCTTGCATGTTTACCCCCCAGGGCCAGGTTTGACTCCAGGCTCTGGACCAGTTTCTCCAGTTTTATCCTTCTTGTCACCAAAGTGATTATCAAATGCAGGCTCCATTGGCCCTTTAGTGGCTCCTGGTTTGCTACTTTTCTGGCTTTTCAGGAACTGGTCCTGTGGAGCCTTCCCTTGGACTCTATCCTTTTTATGGACTGTTTTGGATTGGGGCTTTGTGACCAGCACTTATCAGGCTTCTCAGGGTCATTGAGTACACAGTATGGTGTGTGGATTTGCTGCAGTGGAGGCTTAATTTGAGGCTCGTTCATCTTCCTCTGGGATTAGCAATTCAGTTCCGTTGCAACTGCTACCCAGTGGTTTATTGCTTGAATCAAGGAGGGCTCACTTCGGTCCTTTCCTTTGCTGGGCTGGACTCTCCAAAAGACTTGTCCTCTGGATTCTCATGTGGTGTCCAAAGTTCTCGTGGACATTCTCTCTCACTTCTGTTCCATTGCCACAGTAGATTGTTGGCAATGAGTCCTTCCCTTGGATAAGGGAGACAATCAGCTGCCTCTTTACATTGGCATGGAACTGAAGGCTCCTCTTATAATGTGGTCCATTCCCATATCACAAGGTTCTTGCAGTAGATGTTTTTCCACTGATTTAGGATCAGTGGGAGTTTAATGTTTTCTCCAGTTAGGCAGCCACTACCTCATTCCAGAATAGACACTTTTTGGCACAGTAATCCTCCTGGTTTCTTGGTGGATTTGTTTTGGTTGACTTACTTCTGGGTGCAAGGTTTGGGACCTTCATGTTCTTCAGAAGCAGGGGTTTTGTTCTTATGGCCTGCCGAGTTATCTTCTTTTGCAGCCTTCTCTTCTACCGACTAAGCATGAAATGGCTGGCTTCCATTGAGGTCCATTTTTATTACTTTGTTCAGCAAGAGATCCACCATTTGTTTTGAGCGGTTGCAGCGTTTCACCATCAATTACATGCCTTGGTGACTCATTTGTTGATCCAGTATCCTTGTTCAAAGACTCATTTATCTCAGGTTGTTTGCACTGTCAATAAGCTCAACCAGCCTGTAGTCTACCCACAAGCTCATGATATTCAGAAATTTGCAGCTCTGTCTACTGTCTTTTCAATAATGTTGTTGTTATTATAGATTCAGCTACTCGGAACAAGTTCCAAGTAGCACGGGTTATGATGAGCCCGTAAATTACCTGGCACAGGAGCGGGGCAAGTAGCACAGGCTATGGTGAGCCCGTAGTGGACTTGCCTGGCACAGGAGCGGTGCTGTGTCGTGGTCTTTTCAATGCCTAGAGTTCATATTGTTTTATGGGGATCATATTCCAATAGTGTTCTGGCGGCATGATATTGCATTAATGTTTCCGGTCCATGCCAGGCTTGAATATTGTTGGGTATGATTGTCTGGTGGCGTGGTCAACGACCGGGGCGCGGGGACGCTAAGCCCCGGAAAAACTCCAAGGTAGGTGCTCATCTATCTATATCTCATTATATATCTCATATTATATATATATATATATATATATATATATATATATATATATATATATATATATATATATATATATATATATATATATAATGAGATATAGATAGATAGATGAGCAGATGATAGATATAGATATAGATAGATAGATAGATATAGATAGAGATAGATAGATATATAGATAGAGATAGATAGATATAGATAGATATATAGATAGATTATTATATATATATATATATATATATATATATATATATATAATTAGATATAGATAGATAGATGAGCAGATGATAGAGATAGATAGATAGATAGATAGATAGATAGATGAGCAGATGATAGATATAGATATAGATATATAGATAGAGATAGATATATAGATAGATTATTATATATATATATATATATATATATATATATATATATATATATATATATATACTCTCTCTCTATATATATATCTATCTATACCTCTCTATATCTATCTCTCTGGGGCTTACTGGCCGCTGTTTTCCCCCCACCCCTGGTAAGCCCCATTCTGCTCTGTTCTCAGTGGTGTAGAAAGCATCAGGGAGCCATTGAGAGAGAGAGAGAGGGGGGGGGCTCCTCCCAAAAATTCAGAATGGAATGTAATAAAACTTATCTTTCTGGTTGGCCCTTTCGATGGATCTTTCATCCTGCTGCTGACCAAAGTGTAGCAGGAAGCAGAAACATCATGAGGCATAAGTGACAATGCACTAGCAGGAACATCACCTGCACAATACATTCTCTGGGTATTGTACCAAGTGTATTTTCTATTGTTGTAATTTGACATCATATATCAAACTTAAAAACAAGTGTAAATACAGTACTCTTGCATTCCAATGATGCTAAAACTGGTCCTCTACACCAGTTACACATTCAAAATGCACTGGTCCTCTACACCAGTTACACGTTCAAAATGTACTGGTCCTGTACACCAGTTACACGTTCAAAATGTACTGGTCCTCTACACCAGTTACACGTTCAAAATGCATTGGTCCTGTACACCAGTTACGCGTTCAAAATGCACTGGTCCTGTACACCAGTTACGCGTTCAAAATGCACTGGTCCTGTACACCAGTTACGCGTTCAAAATGCACTAGTCCTGTACACCAGTTACGCGTTCAAAATGCACTGGTCCTGTACACCAGTTACGCGTTCAAAATGCACTGGTCCTGTACACCAGTTACGCGTTCAAAATGCACTGGTCCTGTACACCAGTTACGCGTTCAAAATGCACTGGTCCTGTACACCAGTTACGCGTTCAAAATGCACTGGTCCTGTACACCAGTTACGCGTTCAAAATGCACTGGTCCTGACACCAGTTACACGTTCAAAATGCACTGGTCCTGACACCAGTTACACGTTCAAAATGCACTGGTCCTGTACACCAGTTACACGTTCAAAATGCACTGGTCCTGTACACCAGTTACACGTTCAAAATGCACTGGTCCTGTACACCAGTTACACGTTCAAAATGCGCTGGTCATGGCAGAGTTGCCAGAATCCATATTGCTGAAAGCAGCGAGCTTTAGGGCTAAACGTCACGAACTTATAAGTAGCCAAATATGTTTTATAGCAATCGATACCCTTTACATAGTATACAGCCCAACTTATTTAAAAATAGCCCCCTCAAAATTGCAATTAGCAACAGACGTAGCTTCTAATTGGGCAACTTGTGGCACAATCTGGCAACCCTAGGTCCTAAATACTAGTTGACAAAGTCAAGAGGTGAGACCAAAAGGTCAAAGCTGAAATTCTGAAAGCACAATTAGATAAGTACATGCACAATCAAAACAAAATATAATGTATGATTACAACTTACCTGAGCATAATTTGTAATACCAATAGTTCCAGTGTTGCCATTAACAGCAACCCATTCATGCTTGTCAGTATACTTGCGCTCTGAAAAGGTAAACCAGTTTGATTTTTTTTATATATTAAATCCATATACAGTAACCTTCCTTCATCTTATAACAATTTTATAATTCCATCTCTTAACAAGTGAATTTTAATTTCACTTATCCTTACTCTTTAAATATTATACAATTTTCATTTTGTCTACTTTCATTTTTGCCAATTTATATTACATATATAAATTGCAAATATATATATTTGCTCAATACTGTATTAGATATCTCTTGAGGTTATCTCGAGATGATTTCAGAGCCCGTAGCAGCTGTAACTCCCAGGTACCTATTTACTGCTAGGTGAACAGGAGCATCAGGGTGAAAAACTCGGGCCATTTGTTTCCGCCTCCACCGGGGATCGAACCTGGAATCTTAGGACTACAAATCCCAAGCACTGCCCACTCGGCTGTCAAGCCCCTCAGTTTAGTTATATTATTAATATTTTATTTTTAAATCTTATAATCAAGTCAGCCCATTGACATTCACTCAAAACCAAAGGTGGGAACATTAGCGAAATATCAACTATGGTATATATAAAAGTGCCACTCATGCCCATGTGCCACCCACAGCTCTGCTATTCAACAAATCTCTATAGAGCATCCTACTTTTCCTGACATTCTTAAAAAAGCAAGAGTAATGCTAGTTCATAGAGCATATAGCTAATGCTAGTTCATAGAGCATATAGCTGACAAACAATTTCAGACCAATATCAAATTTACCAACACTATAAAAAAAATATTTGAAATTTTTGTTACGAACAGCTCTACTCCTACTTTGTAAAATTCCACACATAGTATAAAGTCCCTGCCAGTTTGGCTTCCTTTCCCAAAGGAAGTTCCATGGGTTTATAACCCTCTGGGTGAAAAAAATATACGTTTTCAGTCCCACACCTTGACTTCTTATAGCCTGGGGTCACAGGGAAGTCGATATTATTTTCGTTTTCATGCTGGTTCTTTGACGGGGAGACCGTATCTAGTGCCAGCTTGGCCAAGAGGCACTGTGGGTTGGAGGGTCTGTGTGTGCTCCTGGCGTGCCATTAGGGTGTGGTGGGCAGCCAACTCCTGCTCTGCCACAAGTCACTCGAAGATGTTTTGCATATTTGCCCATTTGGGTACAAGTTTAGGAAGAGCCCCATCATGTTTTGGCTACCCAGTGCACCGTGTGTTGAGTGTGGGGGCTAGTACACACCTCCCTCAGAGACTCCTGCGGCACCCCAGACCTCTGCCTGCCAGCATGTGTGTATTCACCGCAAGGGGCACTCGTTCCGCCAACAGGCGACATTAGTATATTCACACACATCCAAGGCACATCCTGCAGTTCCACTGTGCCTCTTAAATCAGCAATAATAAGTGATAAGAATTATTTGTCAATAGGCAAATACTGAACATACCCTACACTAAAGTGAGTACGAGCTCCGCCACACATCTCCTCTACATACCAACACCACCAAATACACAGTCTCACCCTCAGCCTCTCCACTTTGACAAACAGGGCTTTATAATAGTGGCTTTAGGCATTGTATGTACTAGCTCTATCTATAAATTCATCAATATCTGTATCACCCCTTGTATGTATGTACTTTACCTAAATAAACATTTGAATTTTTGAGGGCAACACAGGACCCAAAAATCAATGTACGAAACCTATCTAGCCCAACCCATCAAAACCTAACTTAACCTAAACCTATTTGACCTAACGTAAGCTAAACCTATATAACCCAACCTATTATAACTTGTCCTAACCTATCAAACCTAACCTAAAGCTATCCATTATAACTTGACCTAACCTGACCTAACCTAACCTAACCTAAACCCATCTATCCCACTATTATAACGTGACCTAACCTAACCACGGTGAAGGTGTGTAACCCATAGTGAGGAGAGGTGAGGGACAGTGAGGAGAGGTGAGGGACAGTGAGGGAGAGGTGAGGGACAGGTGAGGACAGTGAGGGACAGTGAGGGACAGGTGAGGGACAGGTGAGGGACAGGTGAGGGACAGGTGAGGGACAGGTGAGGGACAGTGAGGGACAGGTGAGGGGCAGTGAGGGACAGGTGACGGCGTGTGTCACCTCACCACCACAGGTGCGGCCCTGACCTCACCTGACAGGAGGCTGGTGGCGGTACACAGGTGTCTAGGCACAATGTGACCGGCGGGAGTGAGCCTATGGAGAGGGGTGATCTTGGGGACAATAGTACGGAGGCCGTGGAGCACGAGCCGGGCCATGGTGGTGGTGGAGGTGGACAGCAGCAGCAGCAGAAGGCGCAGCAACAGCTGAACTGATCATGCTGCCACTCGCCGCGCATTCCTCATTAATATTTCACCCTCGTACATATTAACCCGCAGCCCAATATTTAGTAAATCATTTATATTATTTGTTAGTAAATTGGTTATGTATGTTTGTTTAAGAGTTTGTTATGATTAGGTACGGTTGTGAGGTTAATATGTTTGTGGCATGGTTGAAGGGGGGACTCATGGCGGCGGGAGAGTTCCGTTATTCTTGTGCTCTAAACTCACTCTCATGCCACTCTCTGACTCCTTCCTTCTTCATACCCGCCCGCCGCTCTTTAACTCTTAATTCTCAGCATCTGTCTACTTGTTTGACATTTAGATTTCATTGTAACAGATACTGTTACAATGGGTAATCATTAGCCGTTGAGATAAAAGATTCGTCCTAGCTACATACAGTACAGTACTCACATCTTGATAAAGTACTCAGTTTCCAAGTCTCCGTGTAAATCTTTACATAAAATACATTAGTGTACGTTTTCATCCTATGTTATTATGTTTGAGAAGACATTAACAATAGTGTCAATTTGCCTGAATTTACCCGATGGCATTTGCTGCTTCGGCGGGTAGGCGGTTCCATAGGTTTATAACTCTGTGGGTAAAAACCCATCTCCTGTTCTCAGTCCTTCATTGTGGCTTGGTGAGCTTGAAACTGTTGTTCTTTGTTTGTGTCACATCTGACCTTTTGAAGAAGTTGTCTTCTTTGAGCAAGTTTTGTTGAAGTTGACCTTCAACCTGTCCAGGAGTGAGAGGTGACTTGTTCTGGAATTGCACCAAGACTGTAATCTTTTGTTGAATTATCTGCATGTCTCTTGCAAATTGTCTATACAGTATACCGAGGTCATAAAAGTATTTGTGTGTACGTCTGATACCATACTACTTATGTAAAGGAGGAAATGTATATGTTTATCTCTCAGAATGTTCAGTAATACGTTTATTGCTTGTGATGTGTGTCTGTAAGTATTAACACGATGTACTGAACGGGGTGAGAATAGCTTGAGCTACCTCATCCCTTTGTGTGTATTTTACCTCAATAAACTTATTTCAATTTAAATTTCTGGAATTATTTTTGTTCCCCGGTGTTGAACTTTCTCCAATCAAGCTGTCTCTCTGAAGATAAGGTCTCCATGCCTGGATGCAGTAACTCAGGTGGGGGCGCACCAAAGATTTACACAATTTAATGACTGCCTTCTTTTCCTTAAAGTCAGAGGTACGTTTTTTTTCTTACTGCCACTCCCACTTGTGCAACTTTCAGTAAAAAGAGCCACTAAGTGGCCTCGACGAGGACAGGAAGCCGGCGGCTTGTCGAATTAATTATGGATTCTGACTCAAAGATTTTTCATTCATCAATCTGCTGCAAGGTAATGTTAATTTGGTAGTTATGACATGGGTTGTTATATTCCACATGAAGGGTTTTGCATTTTTCAATATTAAAAAGTATTTGCCATCTGTGGATAAATGGTCAGTCAGTCGTTTGTCCGGCTGTTGGTCGTTACCGCATTGGGGGACGACACGTGTTGGCACGAATTGTAAATTATCGACACACCTGTCGTTCAAGAGGTTCAGTTACGTCAGATAATCTTAACAATACTTTGGCACCCCGGGTGCTTTCCCAGGGGATTGTGCCATCAGTGGAACACGAGGCTCGGCATGCAACACCGGAAGGTTCAACGACCCCGGCAGGAGCGCTTACATGCTGACCACTACATAAGAACAAGGTAACTGCAGAACGACGGGAGACATCTCCCATCACGTAGGGTGCAGTCGCACCTTCACAGATCTCCAGTATCATCTATTGATACTGGTAATGGCTCAAAAGAGCCACCACTTATGGGCTATTCATGCCCGTGTCACCTTTTAGGTGGCTTAATCTTCATCAATCAACTGCAGAAGGCCTATTGGCCCATACGAGGCAGCTCCTATTTATAACCTCCCAATCCCACTCATATACATGTCCAACCCACGTTTGAAACAATCGAGCTTCACTGATTACAAGCTTCACTCAACAATCTTTGGACTGTTTGTAATTGATTCCGAACATTCTATTTACCGTGTATGAGGGTTTCATTACGTATTCTGATAGTTCTTCGATTGGTGACGTCTGTTCGCTGGGGGAAAGAAAGCTAGTTACCATGTTCCAGGATGATGGCGCCCCATCCAGCAAACATGGTGTTTTGGAATGCACATCCCTTCTTAAGTTGCAAATCCTTTGCATCTTTCGCCTGTAAGAGCAGGCGGACCTGCACCAAGGCAGGCATGTGGAAGGTTGAGCAGGGAATGAAGGCTTTCAGACTTGAAGTCGATGCACCAGAGGTCTGCAGTCCTGCTTCAGAACCGGGAACAACCAGGACCCACTCTTTAGTGGGTGTCAGTGGGCTTGGCCCACACCTGAGGCCAACCAATCTGCAAGGACCAGATGCAGCACCGGAGAGGAGTCCGAACTAAACAGACCCAATGCCAAAAATGAGGGACCAACCAGCTCCACGGAACACCTTGGGAAACAATCTAAAAAGCCCACAATCTGGCAAAACAGCAATAAGCCCACAATGTTGTACGAAAGAGCCACATTTACTAGGTTGTATGAGAGTAACACCTCCCCATACCCATGTTGTATGTGCACCACACCTCCATGTTTTATGGGAGCCCCATGTCCAGTCTCTTGTATGAGAACATCAAGCCCTTTAAGTTGTATGAGAGCGTCATGGCCTCCACTCCCCCTCATGTTGTGTGAGTGCCATGCCCCCATATTGTAAGAAAGTACCACACATGCCATGTTGTATGATCATGCCACTCCATGTTCACATGGGTGACATGCTTCCCATGTATGACGGCGTGTGTCACCGTCATACATGGGATGTATGATGGTGACAGTGATGACATGAGCACTACAACATGAGAGCACTATGCCCTCATGTTGTATGAGAGCTCTGTGCCCCCCTCTTGTAGGAGAGTATACCACACCCCTTACGATGTACGAGAGCATCATGGCTTCTCCCCTGCGTGTTGTACGAGTGCCATGCCTCCCATGCTGTATGAGTGTGCCAAGTCCCCATATTGTATGAGAACCCTACACTCCCCATGTGGTATGAGTGTGCCACGTCCGCCAAGTTGTATGATAGGGCCACACCTCCCATGTATGGGAGTGTCATATTGCGGGTTCAACCGTTTCAGGAACTTCAGAGGAAATTATTTGCAAATTTTAAATTGTTAAGAATGGAATTTTTATTAATTTGAAGGATTTCTGTTATAGCAAATGATAATATTGTGGCAGATTGCATCATGGCTTCCTGCCCCATTCAGAGTGGATATGAGTCCATTTGGAAATCTCGTCATCCTGGGGCTAGAATATCTCCGAGGCTGGCAGATGCTTGGCATCTTAATGCCATGCAGAAGGCTATGGGAAATTACAAAGATGCTGGTCAGATAAGTGATTATTGTGCACAGGAAATCTTCTGGTGTACTGTCATGAAAATTTCATCATAGAATGTTGAAATACTGAAGATATATAAAAATATACAACTTGGTAACAGCTGATATTTTTTTCATGTTTTTTGGTAAAAACTTCTTAAATATGCATTAAAATGTTAACATGAATGTGAAGGGAAACACAAACTGGGTTAAAAAAGGCATCAAATCAATTGAGACCTAAACTGAATGTCTGACACTCAGCCATGCTCCTTGCTGCACATAAATGCTCAACTGAATGTACAAGAATGTAACAACTCTTGTATATATCTCAAAAAAAAAAAAAAAAAAAAATTGCAAACTTTATTAATAATACTAGTTAATGGCTGGAACATGCTAAGTTTTAACCTCTGGCAAATTAATTTTTTTAACCAAGTTTTGCTATATAAAATTCTCATAAACAAATATTTCTTAGATTCTGGTGTCATGCCATAACTTTACATCTCATAATTTTCACTACAGTATTCTTTTTCTGAATTTGTATTATTTCATAACTCGAGCATCATATCACATAATATCTTTGGCACTTCTACTTTCTAAGTTGCTTTGTTTCACGTGCCAATTGGAGTTCCTTTGTTTTTTGGGCAATCCATTTACAACCTTCTTGGAAATCGCAAGAGTGGCACTTCCAAGCATCTTCAATATCAACTCCTTGGCACTCCCTCTCGCCCTTCCAGTAAGTTAGACATTTTGTCATCGTATTTTTCAACCATATATCATCATATTTTACCTTAAACAAAAGAAAATGAGATTAATGTATGTACTTTGTATTAAAAAGATTAGCACACTCGATATGCAACATTAAAAATTAGAGTAATACACTGTGTGTACCAAATAAATTTGTGTAAATTAGGTTTATACTGTATATGTACAGTTCTACATATAAATAGAATGACAACATATTTAGCCTCTCAACATTTGGACAACACTCTTTAAATACAAAAATGGTTGATGACAAGCATTTTTTTTTAATTTGTGAATCTTTTTAGTTCAATGATACTGTACAGTGTTCTCTTATCTGACCATCAGTTATCTGAATCTTTGGATTAACCCTTGGGTGGTGCAGCTGTTAAATTAATACCCGTCTACACCGCTATGCACAAACAAAAAAAAATCCTTCTAATACTTTATTGGTAAAATGTATTCCCTAATCACAGGAAAACAAAAATCGTATGTGACGTATTTTGGCCGTGATAGGGTGAGAAAATCTGGCATGATACAGGCATTGACCCGATACTTGCCCCGGGGCGGTCTGCACCGCCACAAACATATTATTGCCTAATTATTCAATGTCTTCGATTATTTTTCTCTGGTTTATGCAGTACTATAATATTATTCAATAGTGTATAATGTAATATATTTATATACAGTAATAAAATGTGTGGACCATTGCTATACTGTACTCAAAAATATGATGTGCATATATTGGTGATACTGTACAATTATTATATTCATAGAACAATAAAACAGTGTTTTTGCTGTTATTACAGTGGTGGAATGTCACTTCTGCCACTGAGATTGCTTCACCTAGTAGGTGGAAGACAATCTAAGTGAGATAGCTTCAGAGAGCCTCTAGGGCTCAAAAAGAAAGAGGCCTTTCAGTACAGTGGATTCAATGGTGGTATTATTTTACAAAATATTAGAAATACAGTACATAAATCTAAATAAGACTTACTTCTTCAATCAAGAATGTTTGCTGGTCCTCCTGCCACACATAGTCTATGAAAAGTTGACTAATGAATGGTAAACTTTCTGCAGCTTTCTTCAATTCATCTAAGAGCCGACACAAAGTCCATGGTGTATCTGAAGGATAACATTGTACAATAAGACAAACAGACCAGAATTTTCTGCCTTATGTCGAACATTAACTACTGTACATGGTAAATTTAAGAAAACAAAACTTTTCTGTGGAGAGCCTCTTCAGCTCTTCGGGGTGATGAATACCGCCCAGAAAATGGCGTTTCATTACATTCAACACTGGTTTTTTGTGTATCACTGGAATGAACTGAGGAGCAAGGTGAAAGAAAATAGAAGTTACTGAACTTCCTATACCAGGATGATTCTAAATCAGAAGAGGAACACAATCAAACTTTCAGGGATTTCAAGAGTAAATAAGTATCAGATACAGGTAAATAATTTTGGAAATTGCAGATTATTACATCCAATACAATTAAAACCTTTCCAATAGCTTATGGGCTCACTATAGCTTGTGCTACATGAACATTTCTTTCCGAGTAACTAAATCTAAAACGTTTCCAATAGATTACGGGCTCACTATAGCCAGTGCTACATGAACATTTCTTTCTGAGTAACTAAATCTAAAACGTTTCCAATAGATTACGGGCTCACTATAGCCAGTGCTACATGAACATTTCTTTCTGAGTAACTAAATCTAAAACGTTTCCAATAGATTACGGGCTCACTATAGCCAGTGCTACATGAACATTTCTTTCTGAGTAACTAAATCTAAAACGTTTCCAATAGCTTACGGGCTCACTATAGCCAGTGCTACATGAACATTTCTTTCTGAGTAACTAAATCTAAACAATTTCCAAGAGCCTATTCATATTTCACAATATTAATTAATTCAAGTTATTTGTGTATTTAGATCATACTCCAATTTGTTCTCACCTCATTTTCAATAAGTGTCATGGTCCACTGTCAAGTGCCTTCTTTGCCATTCTCTCCAGTATTCATTCAACATGGCAATGTTATCTTTTAGACATTCCTTAGTCATCCCTCGAGCTATAACTGTAATTCTCCTTGCATATCTTTCTCATATTTTCATTCTTAACTTTAGTTATCCTTTTAATTCCAAAAATAATTTGTTATCTATTAAATTCAACATCATAATTGCTCCTCAAATAGCAACAAAGTGCTGTAGCACTATACAATAAATTAATAATTTTGAGAACACTGAGGTAAAAAGCAAGAAAGTTGTCAAAACCCCTAAAGACAATCCAAAATTGCTCACCTGCAGACCTAGTGAGCTGCATAATAGTCTGCAACTATGTCCCATTGACATACTAGCTTCATAAGGCTGGAGAGGAACCCATAGACAGAGAATCCAGCTCAGAATGGAGAAGCAAAGAGAACTGCTCTCCAGCAGCATGATAGCAAAGACTCGCAATTGAGCCCATACCTTGTAATCTGCAGAGACCAAACCGCAGGCAACAAGGGAATGTGGAGTTGTCATGACCCAACATGGGATAGGGCAGGAGAATTTTTTATCCAATAACTGAATAAATTATTAAGCCACATATTACTTTGCCCTCAACTTCTTATAGTTTAAAGACACTCCAAATAAATGCAGTATGCAAACGTATGTAGGAAAATTCTTATTATAGAGGCATAACATTACTGGTACTCACTCTTATCCTCAATATTTAGTAATGATGTTAGACTGCTGCAGATATTTTCTGTCACACTTTCTCCCAAGGTGCGATCAAGATCCAACCGGAGCGTTACTGTGAGACTATGGCGTGGGATGAGGCCACGCACCAGGTCATCAAAAAGGCGCTTGTATAACATTACCTGTGGACAGGAAAAGACCTAGTGTAACTAGGTGCAAAATTGATAAAATTAGCATTTATTTTCTCATCCTATCTCTTCTGCCTGCCTTTACTACTCTATACAAATTCTTGTATTTTATCATCACAGAGTAACTATCAGCCACTCTTTCAAGATGTACAATTTCTGGAGGAGCCCCAATGACTTCCACCAAACCTTCAGGTTTGATGGTTTCTTGTGGATTTGTTAATCAGCTCAAGAACTGAATTAGGGAGCCGGCCAGGAACCAGGGTCATGCTGCCTGGTGGTGCATTATCACTTGGATTGTCACCTGCTATCTGTGCCTTTGTGTGGGGGAAAGGGGGCCAGGTTTTGGTCCTTGGAAGGCCTAACAGAACTAGTTGCAGCTGATATGACCTTTTAGTACGAGGCAATCTTACGAAGCCACAGGGGCTCCTCCAGAAATAAGCATTTCGCTGCATTGAAAGCTGTGTTTTTCAAAGATTAATGTGCTAGCTTATAAAGAGAAATTTATAGGTAAATTCTTAAATTTACGTAAATTAGTAAATTTAACAACTGCACTGCACCACATTATAATATGGCACTCCTGTGGTGCACCAGAAAAAATTATTTCCAAACAATTATTTTCTTTTCTTATTTATTAAAATGTATTCTCTGATCATGGGAAAAAAACAAAATTGTATGCAAAATACTTTACCCATGATGAAGCAGAGAAGTTGAGCAATTTATGAGTGCTCGGTGAGTAGGTGCTTGAGACACTTACCCCAGTGACCCTGTGGCGTGGCAGCTGCCACTAATATAATTTTACATAATTATTTAAATGTCTCTCCTCAGTTTTTTCTCCAATTTTTGTGTTGTTTTTTGTTGTGGTGCCGTGGCCCTTAGCTGCACAGTGGTGCTGTTAGCTCCTGCTGCATGTTCCCACCTTGGTCACTCTCTCAGTACTGAGGCTCTCACAGCCAGAAGGGATGCGGACGATTGTTCTTAAAGATTGCATCTGTTTACTAGAATCTCGAGGCACAGGATGCGAGTCCTGTGTACCCACAGGAGTTTTGAATCATTCCCTATGTCTAAAAGCACCGGTGGTGCTATGCGCACCACCGGTCTAGTGCTTTAAGGCGCTATGTGCAGTGCAGTGGTTAACCATCAAATGAAAGCTAAACAAATATTTTATTGACTAACCTGAGCATTGTGTGTAACCTTTTGAGCTTTACCTGGAGGCTTCTGAATTTTTCTTGTCTTCAAGTCCACAATGTCCAGATTAAAGGTTTCTCTGTCTACCCTTACTTCATCTATTTTGCCCAATATAAAAATGCCATCCACAACCCCGAAGATTGGAACTTCACGGTGTGTTATTGATGACATGGTTAAAATACTCTTTAATACTATCAGAAGATTAATCACCTGCAAAAAGAAACACAATTATAAAATATTTTAAAATTTAAAGAATAATTTTTACTAGATAACTAAGTATTTCCTCTACACAAAATCAGATACACAAAACCAGATAATCAGTCACACGTTTCATGGCAATTGTAATAACGTAATGTTTATTACATTACAACCAGTAGAAACACTTGCTGCTCCATCTATAAAACCCCAAAGATCATGACAGGTATACTCTAGAGCAACCATTCGAGCATAAGCCACAACACCACAAACGAGTAAACTAACCCAAAGCCGCCATCACCTGTAGAGCCTCGTCACTATAAAATCAATTAAACAATACCAAAAGACAGGATCTTTAACTAAAATAGAGGGCCAATGATTCCACACATCACAGGTCTCAGGCTTATTGTTCCTGGCACAACAAATTCTTATTATTATATCTGTGTGGAGCTATAGTTCCAGAGCCTCGTCACTATAAAATCAATTAAGCAATGCCAAAAGACAGGATCTTTAACTAAAATAGAGAACTAATGATTCCACACATCACAGGTCTCGGGCTTATTGTTCCTGACACAACAAATTCTTATTATTATATCTGTGTGGAGCTATAGTTTGGCACCACCAGAAAAGAAGACTCCAGAGACACTTAAATTTACATTGAGCAATGTTTTTCATGACCTCAACTCACAAAGTGAGGGTTTACTGTATTTACTTTATAGCACAGAACATCTTTATATATGTTCATTTCTTTTATTGGCATTGATGGCACAAAAAAGAACAAATATTCTTACCTTGATTGCAAATATGTCTTCACTTGATGTAACTTTAACATTTACATAATCTTGAACTTCCAATTCTGGAAAAAAAAACTTTGAATGTAATGAAATGGTCATTTCTGGTATGGCCCTTAATTCTTATTTTGTTAAAATGTATTCTCTGATTATAGTGGGAAAAAAATTGTATGTGACAAACTTTACCAGTGATGGTAAAGTGTCTAGCTCTCTACGCTAGGCACTGATCTAGCCAAGCCTGAGGGAGATGCACCAGGCTTTGCAAGAAACTGCCAAAATTGCCTTCGCAAGGATAAGTTCCAGTTATTGCACTATGGGAAAAATGAAAATGTCAAAACAGATTCCACTTACAAAACATAGTCAAACCACAGAATTTAAAGAAAAAGCAATGTAAAAGATTTAGGTGTAATCATTAATCATTTTGGAAGCTCATACAACAATCCCATGCTCTCTACACCTCTGTGAGGAGGCCAGGGGCTCTGGTCCTTGGTAGAACATACAGGACTCCTTTGGCTAAAGACTCGGTAGGGAGGGAGCCTTCTCAGTGAGAAAACTTCAGAGAGCCACCATTCACCTTCTCCAGAAATACTGAACGTGTATCCTGAGAATTTTATTACTAGTACTTCGTTCAGTGTGCCATGAATTGAATATTTTGGGTTAACAAGGTAGGTGCAGACACCTGGTGGCATTCAGAGGTAGTGGTCATAATTAATTAGCAATAAGCAGAGTAATATTTGGAAGTCCATCTGAGGCAGAGGACTGCTTGAAGTAGGTTTCAGAGTGAACATGAATGAGTCTTCTAAGGTCATTGGTTGGATGGAGAAAATGGTGAATGTTGTTTAATAAGATTCCTGATGTGTCAGAAAATATAAGTTGAACTGGCCTAGCTGTTTTGTGGCCACATCCTCATAAGAGTAGGACACTGCTATTAGATTTCCCAAGGGATGCCTAGATTATAGCCTAACATAACAAATTTCTACAGAATTCCTCTAATAGGAATATTTTATACTGTACTATTTGAATTCGAAAGTTTCAATGTTAATACAGTACTGTTAAATATTTGTTTATAGTTACATTAATTAATCTTTAGCATACCTCGTGCTAAATGCAGTTCTGATCCTTTGGTCACCTGTTTTGGTTCCGGGATAATGATATCGGGTGGCATGGTTAAACAGTACTCCATCTGTTGCTCACACCACATTTGTTTGGAAAAGTCAGACACCCACAGGTATCCTCCTCTCAGAGATTCTATTGGAGGTAAAGGCTTATCTTTGGCTGAAAATACAGTAAAGTATTATTAAAATAATGAAATTAATGACAAACATGATTAAACTATAATAATTTAATTTCTAATGGTGTTACTCCTATGAGGACAGGTTAAAGGAACTCAACCTCACAATCTTCAAGAGAAAAAAAAACAGAAGGATTATGATCACTACATACAAGAAACTGAGGGGGATAGACAAGATGGAAATAAACAGCCTATTTAAATTGAGAGAGAGGAGAACACATTGACACTGGTGAATAGCTGGATATGCAATGGAATCAGGGATGCAAATAAATTCTCGGACTCTGTACAGGTTGTCAGCAAGAGAAAAACATTAAAAAGTTGTTGAAGCCATTTTTGTCAAGAACTTCAAGAAAAATCAAGAGTTGAATGCAATGAAACACTGTCAGGACTCAAAGAATGTACAAACTGGCATACCTAAATCACTGGAATTGCATCACGCCTCTGAGACTCACACTGACCTATTACCAGTACCAGAATCTAGCTTCCTCTATGAGGTGAGGAGAGCTTGAGGGAACAGGGATTTGCCTAAAACTAACAAAAACCCACCAGAAAGGTTAGGAGAAACAAATCAAGTGACTGCTTTAAGCAAATAAATGAGCCAGGAGGCAAACAAGGCAGTTAATCATTGCCATGGTTGAACAACACCAACCTTAACACTTCAACTGGGGACTAACTTCTTGAACATCAATCAAGAACTTCATGTCTGTCACCACCCTGGTGGTGGCAGACATAAATAACTTTAAATGTAAGGTGTTCATAGTGCCACTACTCCCTGCGCCTCTCTGAGGGGGCCAGGTTCTGCCTCATGGTCCTTGGTAGGCCACCAAGAACTGTGAATGATAGCACCTAGTAGTATGGCATTGATTCAGTGTGATAGCTTCGGGGAGCCACCGGCATTCACCCAGAAATTGGCATTTCATTATACTCAATGTTAGTTTTCTCGGTGGAGCCCCTTGTGTCTCCCTGTATTTATCTACCCACGGAGAAGGAACCAAAACGAGCACCAACCAGGAAGGAGGGACACTGAAGAAAAACAATGTTTTAAACACGCAAAAATCACAATAGCGTGACACATCAAACCATCGAGGTTCGAACCCTCAGCACGACCCTTATGGATTTGTTCAGACAATGTTTTAGTTTTAACTAAAATTAAAAAAATACAAAGAATAATAAATTAAGTTAGTTTTACTCAAATTAAATTTTATTTAAATCATATGTAAAGTTATGGAAAGCTTAACCATTCCATAATAAAAAGTTGTGAAAAATATATAATTTCAGGAGAATTCAGTTTGTTAGGTAACTTGGCATATTAAGTATAAGATATACAGAATTATTAGAATTATTATATACAGTATATACATATACAATACTAGAATTCACTTCATTAATTTTGCTATGACATTAAAACATGATATAATCAAATATAATTAGATATACAGTACTGTAATCAGATATAATAATCAGATATATAATCAGATATAATAATCAGATATATAATCAGATATATAATCAGATATAATAATCAGATATATAATCAGATATATAATCAGATATATAATCAGATATCATCAACTGCTTGCACAAGTTCGCCGAGTGTAATACTTTACCTAGCAAGCTTTCATCAGTTTTAAGATTTTTTACGCAGAACTCGGTTTCAACCCGACTCGAACTCCCAGAATTGTGTCGTTTCTTTGCTGTTTGAGTAGGTGCATCCATTGCTGCTTGCTCGAATGCTTGTTCTGAAAAGTAGAAAGCCTACAGTATTGTATTTTTGTATTATAATTATAAATACATAATAGCTAGCTCTTACAGTAACCCCGTAATGGGAGTAAGAGCTCACTATATAGTCCCTTTTATTCACTTGTACTGGGAATATTCCCTTATACTACGTCTGGGATCCTCTCGGACGTAGGTTCGAACCCTCATCATGGCTCTTGAGGATTTGTTCCCTTATACTGTATTTAGCCTCTCAGCTGTGCCTCATGACAGCAGGCAGAAGATGGGGGCAAAGACATCCTGTACCTGCCTGAGGTGCAGGTGAAGGTGTGCACAATAGTCCTCTCACCACATCAAGGCAGCACCATGAGGGGGTAAGTAAGTAATTATCAAAAGAAGGCACCAAACCGGGAAGGCTATGTAGCACCATCAAATACGCAAAATAATCAGAGGGCACTAAATATCACCAAGGATGCCAATACCAGAACAAAAACGCATAAGGCGAACGATATCAAAAGTATCTGAGTCACCAAGAATTCTATCGAGGGACAGGCGACCGCGAGGGGCGGTCGGAAAGCAAGACACACGCTCGTCCTGGAAGTCAGGACATTCAAGAAGGACATGCACGACCGTAAGAGGGACAATGCAACTAGGACAATAAGGAGCAGGGCGGCGCTCCATCAAGTGACCATGGGTTAAGCGAGTATGGCCAATACGCAACCTCGCCAGAGCTGTTTCCCACCGCCGGTTACAGTGGAAGGAGGACGGCCACGAGGAAACACAACATTTAAGAGTACATAGCTTGTTACCAGTAACAGACAACCAAGAAGCCTGCCAACGGGTAAGGACTGAGGAATGGATAACCGGGTAAAAGTCGGAATACGGAATGCCTTTACGAGAGATGGGACAAGAGCGGACAGCTTCCTTGGCGGCAGCATCCGCACGCTCATTTAAAGACACACCAATATGGCTGGGAACCCAACAAAACTCAACCGACTTAAATTTACTGTGAACAAGAAACAGCCAATGCTGGATCTCGACAACTACTGGATGAACCGGATTAAAGGACCCGAGAGCCATGAGGGCACTACGAGAGTCAACAACAACTACAAAGGAAGACTGACAACGAGAAAGCAGGAGACGAAGAGCATAGAGAATAGCATAAAGTTTAAAGTTCCGCTGTAAAGATGCTAGTCTCCGGAGGTAAGCGACACATATAAGTGTGATCAGGAAAAACAACAGAGTAGCCAACACCGTCCGCTGACTTAGACCCATCGGTGAAGACAGAAACGGAGCGGGAGTGAGAAGAAAAGTGCTCGAGGAAAAGGCGTTTTAGAACCGTAGGAGGGGTAAAAGCTTTAGTGACACGGGTCAAGGATGTACAAAACCGCGGAAGAGGGACCCTCCACGGGGGCAAAGAAGGAACAACACGAGGAGAAACATCAGAAATACAAACGGAAAGAGAATCCTGCAGGCGAGATAACCGGACAGAAAGAGGGAGGTGGTGAAGAGGAACAGGAACCGCAGGAAGGGTAAAAGTTAAAGCACGACAGAGGCGAGAGGAAGGATGTTGCAAGGACCGCGCAAGATAGCGAAGACAGTAGCGATCACGGCGGTCCTGGAGAGACAGGAAGCCAATGTCAACATACAAGCTAAGGATGGGAGTCGAACGAAAGGCACCAGAACTGAGGCGCAACCCAGTATGGTGCAAAGCATCAAGACGGCGAAGAGTAGAAGGAGAAGCAGACGAGTAAGCAGGGCAACCATAATCGAGCTTAGACAGGACGAGAGAGGAATGTAAAGCAAGGAGAGTGCGCCTATCTGCCCCCCAAGAAGTATGGGATAAGACCCGAAGGAGGGTAAGGGCCTTAGAGCACTCAACACAAAGGTAACCATGAGGGGGTAGGCTAGGCTAGGTTACGAGAGCTAAGGCTAGGCTAGACTAGGTAAGGTTTGGTTAGCTTAGATTTCCCAGAACCAAGTCAACTCAGGAGCGGTCCGTTTAATTACCACAAGCTACACAAGCTTCACAAAGCTTCCTGGCAATACGTTAGTAATGAATAAATATGATATATTTACTCACTATAATGTTGGTGCTGAATGTACAACACGAAAAAACATAATTTTAATCTGAAAAAGTATTTTTTTATAAAGAAATTAGGCGAAAATAAAAAGCTGGTGACGCCAAATCAAGTTGACGATCCAAGCGTCGGTTAGGTTAGGTTAGGTTTGGTTTGGTTAAGTTAGGTTAGGTTAGGTTAGGTTAGGATAGGTTAGGATAGGTTAGGATAGGTTAGGTTAGGTTAGGTTAGGTTAGGTTAGGTCAGGTCAGCCTAACCTATCATATTTATTCATTACTAACGTATTGCCAGGAAGCTTTCTGAAGCTTGTGTAGCTTGTGGTAGCTTGTAGTAATTAGACGGACCCCTCAGGAATGGTTGAGGGCCTCAGGGCTAACAACAGTGCGAACCAGACACGACAGGACTGATCTCATCGAAACTTTTAAAATACTGAACAATTTGGAGGATATTGAACCAGACAACGTCATCAGGTCAGATGTAACACAAACAAGGAGCTCAACAAGCCACAATAATGAAGGACTGAGAACAGGAGATGCTTTTCCACCCACAGGGTTATAAACCAATGGAACCGCTTACCCGCCGAAGCCGTAAATGACAAAACTGTGTTAAGCTTTAAAATCCAACCGAAAATGATCTGGACAAATGGGTGGGACCTTTCACAAGCCGCCGGCTTCCTGTCCTCATTAAGACCACTAGTGTTAGTGGCCCTCAGGTAAATTCAGATAAATTTGATAAGAGTTCAAGTTACATTACACTTCAGCGGCAACCTAAAAACAGGATTTTTCAAGACCAATACACGTAATGTTTGCCAAATCATTATATCGTCATTTTTTTCACATGCTTAATTAATAAAAAAAATAAAACATGTATAAGTTAATTTAAATAAGACGATTATTACCCAAATTGACGGCCAAAATATCATCATCAGTGATGTCTCCCCAGTCAGCGTCGGAACTTGCCATTGTTCAGCAATTAATGTATGTCACAAGTCTTTACCATAAAGTAAAGATATCAAATGTTCTCCACAACACTTTTGACTGTTATTTGTTCTCCCTGTGAGGCGTAGTAGTTCTTCGGTTCTTGAGGTCGAGTGGCTTCTCTCCGGAACCTGCTGACCCTCTAGTGTATATGTACTAGAGGGAGCATGACGACATACACATGAGACGGGTGCGGTCTATGAATTATATCTTACCTTAATAATAATAATAATAACTCATAATAACGTTCTTATTCATCCTTTGAGTGGTAGTTTATTGCGTTTCCCTTAATTACTCATCCTAGTTTGTTGAGTTAACTGCTCAACAAACTAGGACAAGCAGTTAACCAGTTAACTGCTCGTTCTGTGACTGCTAGTTAGTTCCCCTTAATCTTGTTGTTAGTGGTAGTTTATTGTGCTCCACTTATTATTCATCCAATGAGTGATAGTTTGTTACTTTCTTATACACCCCTTAATTACTCATCCCAGCTGAGATTGATAGAGTTTGTGTTTCACTTAGTTACTCATCCTGTGAGTGCTAGTTTGCTCTTGTGGAGCATGTGTTAGTTACTCATCTTGTAATTACCTAAGTGTAGTTACAGGATGAGAGCTACGCTCGTGGTGTCCCGTCTTCCCAGCACTCTTTGTCATATAACGCTTTGAAACTACTGACAGTCTTGGCCTCCACCACCTTCTCACTTAACTTGTTCCAACCGTCTACCACTCTATTTGCGAAGGTGAATTTTCTTATATTTCTTCGGCATCTGTGTTTAGCTAGTTTAAATCTATGACCTCTTGTTCTTGAAATTCCAGGTCTCAGGAAGTCTTCCCTGTCGATTTTATCAATTCCTGTTACTATTTTGTATGTAGTGATCATATCACCTCTTTTTCTTCTGTCTTCTAGTTTTGGCATATTTAATGCTTCTAACCTCTCCTCGTAGCTCTTGCCCTTCAGTTCTGGGAGCCACTTAGTAGCATGTCTTTGCACCTTTTCCAGTTTGTTGATGTGCTTCTTAAGATATGGGCACCACACAACAGCTGCATATTCTAGCTTTGGCCTAACAAAAGTCATGAACAATTTCTTTAGTATATCGCCATCCATGTATTTAAATGCAATTCTGAAGTTAGAAAGCATAGCATAGGCTCCTTGCACAATATTCTTTATGTGGTCCTCAGGTGATAGTTTTCTATCTAGAACCACTCCTAGATCTCTTTCTTTATCAGAATTCTTTAAAGATTTCTCACATAATATATAGGTTGTGTGGGGTCTATGTTCTCCTATTCCACATTCCATAACATGACATTTATTAACATTAAATTCCATTTGCCAAGTGGTGCTCCATATACTTATTTTGTCCAGGTCTTCTTGAAGGGTATGACAGTCATCTAAATTCCTTATCCTTCCTATTATCTTAGCATCATCAGCAAACATGTTCATATAATTCTGTATACCAACTGGTAGATCATTTATGTACACAATAAACATCACTGGTGCAAGAACTGAACCCTGTGGTACTCCACTTGTGACATTTCTCCATTCCGATACATTGCCTCTGATTACTGCCCTCATTTTTCTATCAGTCAGAAAATTTTTCATCCATGATAGAAGCTTACCTGTCACCCCTCCAATATTTTCCAGTTTCCAGAACAACCTCTTATGTGGAACTCTGTACTTTGTGAATGGTAGTTTGTGCTCCTCTTACTCCTCTTGTGAATGGTAGTTTGTGTTCCTCTTACTCATCTTGTGAATGGTAGTTTGTGTTCTTATTCATCTTGTGAATGGTAGTTTGTGTTCCTTACTCATCTTGTGAATGGTAGTTTGTGTTCTTCTTACTCATCTTGTGAATGGTAGTTTTTGTGTTCCTCTTATTCATCTTGTGAATGGTAGTTTGTGTTCCTCTTACTCATCTTGTGAATGGTAGTTTGTGTTCCTCTTACTCATCTTACGAATGGTACTTTGTGTTCCTCTTACTCATCTTGTGAATGGTAGTTTGTGCTCCTCTTACTCATCTTGTGAATGGTAGTGTCTGTGTTCCTCTTACCTAGTGAATGGTAGTTTTTGTTTTCCTCTTACTCATCTAGCTGTTACCTGAGTTGACCTGAGGGCCACTAACACTAGTGGCCTCAGCAGATGGAAGCCTGCAGCTCAAAGGTCCCCCCATTTGCCCTGATGATTTTTTTCCAGCTGGATATTAAAAGTTAACACAGTTTTGGCATTTACGGCTTAGGCGGGTAGGCGGTTCCATGGGTTTATAACCCTGTGGGTGGAAAAGCATCTCCTGTTCTCAGTCCTTTATTGTGGCTTGTTGAGCTTGATCCCATTGCTTCTTGTTTGTGTTACTTCAGATCTTTTGAAGAAATTGTCTAGATCAACACTATTATAATCCTCTTACTCAATCTGTAAATGTTAGTTTATTGAACACCTCTCACTCATCTTGTGCTAGTTTACTGAGCACCTCGAACTCATATTCTGAGTTGTAATTTATTGAGCGCCTGTATAAACTTTCGCATGTTTTTTTATATACAGTATTTTTGTTTATATTCTTATAGTAAATAAGTCACCATGATACCTAAGGTGGTTAGTGATAAGAGCCAAACAAAAAGAAAATTAGTTAGAACCACAATAGAGATGAAAAAAAAGCTCTTAGCAAAAATATGAAAGTGGTGTCAGCACATTTCTCCTTGAAAAAGCAAAACAACTGCATGGTGATCTCTTACAAAAAAAAAAAAAAAAAAAAAAAAAAATGAACGAACGAATGCTGAAGTGCTCAAAGGTAGTCTTGGCTATGGAAGGGGACCCCCTGCCAAATAATAAAACCTCTCCTCTTCTTCCTCACTACCTTCCACATATGCCATCAACTAAGTACCTGTACAGGTAAAGTGAGAATATATTTGCATTTATTTGATATATTTATTGTGTATTTTTCGGGGGGTCTGGAACAGATTAATCCAATTTGCATTAATCCTTACGGGAAAAATTACTCGGTACTTGAACAGATCAGCACTCCTTTCTTCGTTCAGATCGTTCCTTCTGGAACGAATTAAGTTCAAGTACCGAGCTATCACTGTATTTGTGTATCTAAATATGCAAACAAGTATTGCATTATTTGCTGTAGGAAAAGTATAAAAGATCTGGAGATAAACAACACTTTAGCCTAAAACAGGGCAATGTTTTAGAATTCAGAATTTCACAAGAATCCATATCAGATTTTGAATACGATCAAGATTTTGGATATACAATATATAAAGCGGGTTGACCAGCTACTCCCTTCCCCATTCCCTTCACTACTGAATCCATTGCTCAGATTCTACACCTGGCTGATGGCTTTTTCCAAGTGTGAGTAGAAATTATAAAAATAAAGGCTAAAACAGACATTAATGAAAAGGGGGGCATCTTTATTTATCTATTTCTTGAATTCATTAATCAGTAAACAACTGAGGTTATTATTACATATAGAGTACTGTATTATGAAGGTCTGGCCCTGGGCATATAGTTGACAAATAGTTATTCAGTGGCAAATAATTATCTAATAAGAGATTTAAATTCTATTGCTAAAACTGTACTGTATATATTATTCAATAATATTACAGTTAAAATAAAATGATATACAGTATTATACCGAAAAATTGCAACTAACCTTCATCCCACTGATACTCAAAACTGTATACTGTATATGGAAGTTATGGTCATTTGCCCTGGCATCAACTCAACTGAGAAATTTATTATAAAGGAGCAAAAATACAGTATAATGTCACATCACCTTAAACACAGAATGAGGACGGCATTACCTTGTACAGATAAAAATTACACACCAGGTGCTATATTTCAGATATATACCATGAAGAGATCAACGGCAAGTCTACACTTTCTCCTGCAATACTATACATTACCAAATGTGCAGACACTAAGACACACTAAGACAAAACACACAATGTTATAAGTAAATTATTAAAAACTTGTGTATTACAAAAGTGTTAAGAGTAGTGCTGTGTAAATGCATTATCTACTTTCTGATCGACTTGCAGTCTTGACAAAGTCACATTAAACATGCTTCACTTTACTGTACAACATTATTATTATTATTATTATTACAGTACACATATTGCAATAAGCTAATTAGTCTACCATATTCTTCCTTTCATGAAGACTGAGGTTACACACACATTAAATTATACTGTACTTTCAATTAAAAAATAATTCAATTACCTTTCATTCAAAAATAAATCTTCTTTATATAATAAAGAAGATAAGTACTATCTACAATCAATCATTTGTACAAAATGTCAGAGCTAAACCAATGACACTGGTAATGGTTTGGCAATCATGTCCACCATCTCGATCATGACCCTTGGCTTCGACACGACTGTACCTGTACCACCAGGTACAGTCATCTGTAGTGAGAGCATCCTGACTCACTGTGCGAGATCTGGCTCAAATGTTACTCCAGACTATCAAACAAGTCCTGGATCATCTTGTGAGGTGAGCTACATGCTGTGCAACATTGGTTCCCACATCCTATCATTGCTGTACCTGGTTGTGGAAAATATCAGGGGTTACTATCCATCATGATAAAGTAGGGAGATACTGTATTGCATAAATAATCTTAATGCTAAACATTTATGCTCCCCATACATGTGCCTATTATATTTATAAAACTCTTTACTGTACCAATATTAATATGGAGCTTTAAGCCAGTCCTAGAGGGATATAATGGTCTCTGATCAGGCAAGCAATTAACACTACTTCGACATTCCCAGATTCAGAACTATGAAGTACGGTATAACATCACACATTTAACTTATGTAAATGTAATGTTAAAACCAGCCTAATCTCCTCATTGTAGTACCCCATCATACTCTTTTTTTTCTTTATATTATTCATGAATTACAGTAAGCCTCATACCACCATTACAGTATAATAAAACAAACCCTTTGTGCTGCCACTTCACATAGCATCCATCATCATAGCTGCTATCACAAAAATAATTTTCATTATACAGTAACCACCTCTCACCAGTATAACTCATCATATATTGCTTTTATCAAAACAAACATCTCCATCGACCATGACTAGTTTTAAGTAGGAGCTTAAGACTCAATGTACTGTACTCTCGAGCTCCTTAATCACCGCACTAAATTTCCAACTAAACCATTGTTGTTCGTTTGAAATTAGCCAAAACACTGAGCTACTTGAGTAGTGCCTTTACAAACCTACACTTAATCTTAACACTTATCAACATAATTATATTTTCAACTCTTATATACACTACTGTAATGCCCACAATATCATGCTCATATGAATAATATAACTTACATACAAATTTATAAATGTAGACTAAATTAAATGTGGATGGAATGAAAGTATAAGGATTTTAATCAAGAACCAAGCGATTACTACCAGGCTGCAAGAACCAAGGGATTATCACTAGGCCATGAAGAACCAAGGGATTACTCACTAGGCCATGAAGAACCAAGGGATTACTCGCTAGGCCATGGAGACCCAAGGGATTACTAACCAGGCTGTGAGAGCTGAGGGATTAATACCCAACCCAACATACCCAACTGCACTACCGAGAACCCCCCTCTCACTTTGAAGGATAATAATTAAGAAACTCTTAAGTGAGAGATAACATATGTATAGATGACTGTGGAGTGATAGATGCCACTCAACAATTAACAACTGCAGTTGAACTGCATAAGATATGCTGTTGAAGAAAATCTCATCACAACCTTATTATTATGATAATAATATACATTATTATTAATTAATGAAAATATTATACTCTGATAATCATATTTTATGTGCATTTCATTGCTACTAATGAGGCTGTAAACTGGTGGTCAATACTGTACTAAAATGGCTAACAAATTAATATTTTATATACCGTATATATTATAAGTAAAGGGAAGACTTATAGATATCTTTTTATATGTGAATCAATGTATTATTTTATTTACAAAAACCATCATAACATGATTATTATTAGTGATCATAACACTATATATAACTTATGGCAAGTAGTATTTCTAGCTTACCAGAAAAGAATTACCATTGTTCTTACACTAAATAAAAAGAGATATTTTCACTTTACAATACAGGTACAATAAAAGATGAACTCAATATTTACTTCCGAAAATCAGATCGCAGTTCTGCATGAGCAGTGTCCCTGAGCAGTTGGTACTCTTCTTCGTGGAAAACGGCATCCTCTGGTATCGTAATGTGACCTACAATCACTCCACGCTTTTTAAAACCCTGAAGAAGCTGCCCCCATCCTGCTGCTGTCACACGAGCTCGTGGGAACCTGATATCCATATACCTGCAAGTAGTAAATGAATGGTTTAACACTTTTGTGTATGATTATACAGTAGTTCGGATGAGTGTATGTTAAACACCTATTTGTGGTCGCAAGAGCAGAGCTATATTTGTCTGTCATATCTTTATTAACAGTAATTTGGTCAATAGTCTCTTCTTGAAGCCCAGTCCAACCATTCTACAATTACTTGTAAATAACTATTGACTGAAAACAAATAATCTAACCTAAACGAATTATATGAAAAGAAAGTAACAATGTTTCAGTCCATCCTGGACCAATATAAAGTTGAAAAAAAATGGGGGGGGGGGGTTTCCTCTTTTCTGAAGGGAGTCCATTTTAGTTCTCTGAAGCTATTTTCTTGAGATTGCTTCATACTAACAGGTCACATCAGCTGTGGCTAGTTCTGTTTGGCCTACTAGGCACCAGAGCCAGAACTTTGCCTCCCTTAGAGAGCAAGTGACAATCTGCCACCTCACCAGAAAAAAGCTCCAGAAAATCAACACAGCTTTACTGGAGGATTCACAGAAAATGAAGCCTCCAAAATCACCAAACAACTACCACAAACAAGTCACGTGCAATAAGGGACTCGCTGAAATGAGCTCGAAACTCTCACATACTGATTTCCACCACCGGGTAGCTGAGCCCCGGTTTCCAGCCGGCTCCCCAAGTCAGTTCTGTTTCTGATTTTGGTGGCACCACACCAACCTGTAGTGCTTCCGGTCATGCCAGCTTGTTGGTGAATCCCAAAGTGTCAAACTAAGTACTGGCCATCCTTACACCATCCTGCCTGCTCACCCCTCTCCTTCGGAAGGCAGTGGCAGCATTTTATTCGGCCTGCCTCGCATTTCGGCAGGCCGCTCTGGCCTGTTTAGATTCAGCATGGCTGGTTCCCTGTTCTCGCCTCTCCCTGTGCTGGCTTTCTGGAGGCTGGAGGTGGCAGATTGTCACCTGCTCTCTGTGAAGGGTCCAGGTTCTGGCTCTGGTCCTTGGTAGGCCAAACAGAACTGCCACGGCTGATGTGACCTTTTAGTATGAAGTAATCTACAGAAGATTGCTTCAGGGAGCCACCAGGGCTCCTCCATAAATTGGCACTTCATTATATTCAATGTTCAGGGTTTTCTCAGTCGATTTAATAAGGGTTTAGGACCTTGCAATACCGACCTTGATTTCGGGGCCCAATGTCCCTGCAGCCCGGTCCTAGACCAGGCCTCCATATTGTCAACATCTGAAAATGACAATGTCTTGAGCTGAGGACAAATGAAGACATTGTCACTCCCATTTCATGTTAGTGGGTTGGGTTATTTACATATTAACTTACATAGAATCAATAGGGAGTAGTTTGGATGCTATATCACAAGCTCTGGTTAGACTGCTGTCATCTATATCCGTGAGCAGGAGCCAGAGCAGCATGCAGGAAGCAGGCACCTGGGTCAGGAACGTTGCAGACACTCCACACCTGATATGAAAACCTGTAATAATAATAATAATAATAATAATAATAATAATGGGTAAGAGTAATAATGCTGTTTGAGTATTGTATGTGTCCAGTTGTTCTTTGCAGATGTAGAAGGGGTAGTCACAAGTGAAATACTTTACTAACACAACCTCATGTTGTAGAGTTTACTGTAAGCATAAATATTGATTCCCAAACTGATTATCAAACACAAAAATGATTGCAAGAGCAATGTACAGAAATATTAAGGAATTAATATTAAAATAATAGGCAAGACTAAATTAATATTTAGTTTTACCCATTAAGGCTAAAACAGAGCAGGCAATTAAAGTCTAATTAAGATGCATACATTTTACAGAGCCTAAATAGGCTTCCAAAATGGTCTGAATATTGGCAGATGCTGTTCAGTGTTGATCAGTGAACAGTGTTTATAAGTGAGCTTTACAAAAAATACAGGTACTGTACCAGATATGAGCTAAGCATCACTAAAACTGTGAACTTATAGTGAGGAAAGGATCTGGGAATCTTGACTAACAGGGATCTAAACCCAAGAACACTGCATAAATATGCATAAATATTCGAAGGCTAACAGGGAACCAGTATTCATATGTATAGTATAAACATTAGTTATAAAAGTTCTAATGATTCCCATTGTAGTAGATAGCTAGTAAGTTAAGGACTAACTTCCTATCTATCCTATCGTTCGGGTTCGTTCTCGACTCGCAATCAAGCATTCCAAGATCAAATCCCAGGTGGCACAGATATGATTGGGCACATTTCCTTTCCCCTCATGCCCCTGCTTACCTTTCACTAAATAGGTACCCAGGAGTTAGTCAGTTTGTTGTGGGGTTGCATCCTGGGCATGGTAAGTAATTCGACCACAGGAGGAGGGGGGGGGGGGGGGGGGAAGGAAGGATCTCGGTAAACATGTACTGTAGGTATAACCTAGCTTCCTGTCCCCCGACACAATGAATTATTATTATAATTATTATCTTTGCCCTTAAAGGGTACAGGTACTTACATAGGCCCGCCAGTAGTGGCAGTCGAGGTACAGTGATAGTCAGCTGAGGCATAAGACAAGCTGCATGATTATCACTTGTAATGGTTAAGTTTAGGAAGGTGATGGTGTTAGGCAGCAAGGACAAGGCTTCTCCACTCAAGCACCCAAGAAACTCCCACACTTTACACCTGTTCCAATGAAATGAATATGGAAGATTATGAGACATCTGTTTTCAATGTGATCTTTAAAGAAAAGTAACAAACAAGGGTCATGCATGAAGGGGCTTTCATTCAGGGCTAATAAAGCAACTAGAATATTTATAAAACAATTCATAATACCTATACAGTACTTATCATTTTGCTATTTATCATTATCAGTTAAACAATCACTTTATTGCTCAAAATAATAAGCCATCATTGTACTGAACAGTATTGTAATTATATTTCTGAAAAGGCTGTCACCTGTGAACTATTACATGCAAACAGAGTGCAGTACTTTTGAACTAATGTTTTCAATTCTTGGTCATTTGAAGCTGATGTTGCAGAGTGTTGGAAGTCATACTGGAAGTACAGATTAACTTGGCACCTGCATTCTGCTATCATTTCAAGAAGATCTGGAAATTGTGCAATGTTACGTTGATTGCTGTCGATGAAAACCCTAATTTCTTTTGGCTTGGTCTCTCCAAGCAGCTTAAGTGAGGCTTCTACCCGACAGTCAGTAATTGTTATACTATCACAAATATGTTTAGATGCATACTTAATTATGACACAGTCATTCTTGACAAGTTCAAATAGCTCAAACCACTCATTATCATCAGTATTTCCCAGTCCTGATTCATGTAAGAGTTGGACAATGTCTTGGCCAGTACACTCTTCAATCTTTGCACTATATTGTGTGTATAACACACCAGCCACCTGCAGCAACACATTTCGGTATTTGGACATGCTGAGTGAGGTAGGATTATCACTGTGCAGATCTTTAAAAATGGCTTGGATAGCACCAGGTTTCTGAGGTGTAATTGTTTGACCTAATCTTTGCATAGCATCACTAAGAATATTCTGTTGTACAGCAGATCCAGCTTTTTGTTCTTCAAGTAAGCTGGCAAGTTTTTGTAAGAATGCATCATTCTCTCTTATTGTATTCTTATCAAACAAATTTTGCACAATCCAAAGTGATGCATAAAACTCATGAAGAAACTTATGAGGGACACTAGCTTGTTCTTTACCATGTACAATCTTCACCACAAGAAAGGCAGACAGTGTTTCCGTTAAATGTAGATTGTTTGCAATACAGGTGGCTCTTATTCGGGTCAGAGACTCTGGCAAAAATTTCTCGTTAGAGTCCCACCTCAAGGCAACTAGTGCTTCATGATACATGCTGCTCAAGAAAAGCTCCACCTTCTTGTGTAATTCCTCAGTAACTACCCGCGATGTCAATTCATTACGTGCTAACCGTTCAATGAGCTTCTTCTTCATTAAGTTGTGTGTTTCAATATATAGCTCACTAGCAGTTGTTACTAAATTTAGTTGTACTGGGTCATCAGCCCAGAGCCACACCAGAACTACCAAGTTTAAGGGAAGTCTGAAGTGGTTATGAAAGCAAGCCTTTGACTTTTTTACATATGCAATAATGTCTTCTGTATTTCGTGTACTTAGCCTTTGTCTGAGCATTTCATCGTGATATTTTCGTATGAACTCTTCACGTTTGTTCTCGGCAATTCCAATTATCTTCAGATGTGCAATGCAGTACTCCGGAGGAACGTGTGTTTCAAAGTAAGGCACTTTTTCTGAACGTGATGTGCATATCACAACAAAATTATATAATCTTTGGTTTAGTATGTCCATGAAGAGCTTCTCTGATGACTCATTGAGCTCATCAAGACCATCCACAATCACCAATGTTTTAAGGTCCATTACATATTTTTGGAGGTCTCCCTCCTTGAAGTATCTGGCATTTGTCACAGGAAGCAAGTGATTCAAGAGCTGAGAAAATGAGGATAGAGAGAAACTGCGGCACTCCATGTAAAGAAGCAAATCATAGTTATAAAGCCCTTTGATGGAACTACTTCCTGAAGACCACTCAGATTTTATTAGTTTTGCTAATGTAGTTTTCCCAGCCCCTGCTGGTCCTTCTATGAGGAATATTTCAGGGGCATTATTTAGGTTCCAGCTTTCGGTTGAAGGATTATACCTACATAATTCAAGAATATTTTCATAAGAAACAATAGAACCTTTCGCCTTGTCTCTAGCAGTCTCAACTTCAATCTGAGTGAACACTGTGCTGACTTTCATGATCATTCTTTGTCCTTCAAGGAAAGATACAGGGTTAATGAGTGACCAATTTTCATATCTTTTCTTTAGTTCTTTTGAGCCTTCTTCCTTTAGCTTCATTTTCAGTTTCTCATTTAGCAAATCATTTTCATACTGTTGTATATCTGACTGTGCTAGTGCTTGGTCTCGTATATTTTTGATGTCTTCCCTCACTTCATCGACCTTCTTGGACGTCTCGCTTGGGTCTCTAGTATAAATAACTCCTGCAACGTTTAATGCTGTCTCAAGCAAGTCTAAAAGTTTATCGGTCTCTTCCAGCATTTTTTCTTTTGTTATTCCCAATATACAATGGCTAATTTCATTCCTGAAATTTTTTATGGAAACCACCAAATTTTCTAAACTATTCTTTTGCTTCATTTTTTCACTATTTGTTAAATTAATCTTATCGCATGCATGGCATATGGCCTTAAACAAATGAGTGATATCAAATGTACTTTCCATGGCCTTTGATGTCATTTTCTGCCTTTGAGAGATATCAAAAATACTTCTGTATCTGACTTTAGTCAAGCCTTTTGTGTTCAGTAGATAATCTTCAAGTGTCTGGCCAGGGGACTGCATGGTTCCCCATTGGAAAATAGTGTACATAACATTTCGTGCTGTGCACTGCGACATCTTGATCAGTCGGAAACTGTTCTTCTCATCTTCAGAGATCTTATCTGGCATTCTTAGTGGCAATTGAGTTGCCATGACTTCTGGGAATGGGATGACTAATGTGATATGCAGGTCATGTAGATGCCATCAGGAACACCTGTGAAAAAAGGATCATTATGGACACAATATTAACATTTGAGGTGGAAATTATTCTATTGTTCTTGTATTAGATGAAAAAAAGTGCAGTAGTTTATGCATACATAAAAAATCTCAAACTTGACAAAACACGCTTCATGGGTGAGCATGTCATGGCTATAGCATCGTCACGACTCTCATGGGTTTGGGGTTCAAGACCTGTGGACTACAGCCACAATTCTGAACCAAGTAATTAGCTGTGATTGTTGTACAGTGATTTAACTCTTAACTTGTGACACCTAACCCAAATTACTCTTTAGATGTTAGAAACTTTAGAGTTTCATCATCCTCGACAGATAAGGTAAAATTTTCATTATGTGATATGAAATTTATTGGTGTTCAAATATAATTTCAAAATGCAACCATTACTGTATCTTAATGGAATCTTAGATACTACATTCTATTTAAAGTTTCAACTCAATATGGTGAGAATGTAAGGTAGCTTGGCCTGAACCACTCCAGAACTGAGAAGCTACAGTATATAAAAGACCTATGTATTTTTTCTTTGTATTTATTAATCACTGCTGGGGAGTCCACTTAATATAGTTTCATTTTGTGAATATTATAAGCATAGTTGTGCCATAATTATTATTACAATTACCGTGTGCTGTTAATTTACTCTGTAATTGTTAACAATCCCTGAGATCAGAAGTACTGTATTATTGTGTCTAAAGTTTGATAATGTCTGAAGAAAAAAATTAAGAATCAGTATCAGTCTTTTAGGACTCCTTTATTACATGATACCGATAGGAGTACAGTATTAGTATCAGGTAATAAAGCAAAATTGGTATAAGTATACCTTTAAAACATACCCATTTATCTGGAAATCAGTGTCAGTGTTCAGATATTTAGTGAACCTTACCTCTTTTTCATTACAATCTCTGCTGACATTTCATGTACAGTGTTTATTTTACTGTCATTTTATTGAGCATCTCCTTGTTCAAATCTTAGCATAACTTTATTGCAATAAAGTTATACTTTTTTTACGTATACTTTTAAGTTTAAGATACAGTAAGTTACGTATACTTTTTTTTTTTTTTGCAGTAAGTGTTGAGAAATTGTCAACTATGCCCTAATGGGTATAGTTAGGTCTTGTCTATGTATAGGCAATAGAACTTTCTCTCATTTTCAGAATTAATGTTGACTTTGTCTGTCAGAAGGTGAACAAATCCACAAGGGCCGTGACGAGGATTCAAACCTGCGTCCGAGAGCATCCCAGACGCTGCATCACGCAATTGTGATTTCTGTTTGTATCAGAAGGTGTATTTGGTTTGATTTGTTTCCAAATAAAATGTAGTAGGTCTTTTCTAAATTTAGCGTAAGTTTGTTGGGTTGACAACAAAGAGTGGACATTTTTTTAATAATTCAACATTTTTTTAATAACTTAATTTTTACCATGTTATTTACAATATTATTTAGTGTGTGCATTGGGGGTTTGAAACAATGAAGTTAGTATCATCACAAATAGTACAGGTTTAAGAGCATTAGACAATTGGCAAGTCCCTGATGTATATAAGAAATAGGAGAGATTCTTAGATGCTGCCTTGTGGCACTCCTATTGTTAATGATAAAGTGGAAGCTATGTCACTGATAACTATGAACGTCTGTTGCCGAGATACGATCGGATATACTGTAGTTCAGAGAAAGGCCTCGAATTCCATAATGAAGAATTCATGTAGGAGGTTATGATGATTTAAATAATTAATATTGGGGAGTAGAAGAACTCCCGAAACCCTCTCCAGGTATTGTCAGGCCAACGAAGTGGCCAATTGGGAACTCATTTTTATCAAGGACAATGTACATTAAATCAAGTAAGATAATACTGTAATTGCATCATTGGGGCACTCTTTTGGCACCTTGAAGCCAAACTGACTGGAAATTATGTTGAATTTTACAAAGTAAGAGTAAAGCTATTTGCAAATACAATTTATCAAATTTTGACACAGCAACAGCACAGATTTAGTAATTAATGTTCAATAACAGCAAAGCATGGGTTGACACTTAGGAAATAATGTAGGTTACATTGAATTTATCAGGTAGTTGTTAGTGTCTCTCTTAAAGCGGTTGAGAGGACAGTCTTTGACGTGACTGGGAAGGTCATTCCACATTTTGGGTCCCTTGATTTTGTAGTAAATTTCTACGTTGATTAAGTTGCACTCTCGGAATAACAAATGCGTATTTGATTCTAGTGTGGTGCCCATGGACTCTATTACAGCCTTGAGAAGCCTTAAGAAGCCTTGCAGTGACTTAATCATTAACACATTCAAAGATTTAAGGAGGTCGAGGGCTGTCTGATGCTCGAGTTTACTTTTTCGAATTGGTGATTTGTGTTAGAGTAATTAAGAGGTTAAGAGGGAGTTGAAGAGGTCGTTGATGATTTGGGGTAAGTACAACTCCAATCACAGGTGAGATTAGGATAGATATAAAGCATTATAGATATAGATATAGCATTATAGATATAGATATAGCATTATAGATATAGATATAGCATTATAGATATAGATATAGCATTATAGATATAGATATAGCATTATAGATATAGATATAGCATTATAGATATAGCATTATAGATATAGATATAAAGCATTACCAGGGCAGGGCGAGGTACATAATATCTGATTTTAGAAAGAATGCCAACTGCTTGAAAATGTTTTAGCTATATATTTTGTACGTGGCTCTGGTAATTCACCAGCTGTTATTAATTTGGATATCACAGTTAACTGATCATATATGAAGTGTACTTTAGCCTTCTGCTTACTAAATTTTGCTTTGTTTAGGCATAAATAAATACAAGCAAACTATAGAGTAAGATGTCCCTCAGGTAAATACAGGTAAGAGAGCACATTCACACTCACAAGAGGGTTTATGTACGTCTCTGTATAGGAAAATATTGAGCCGTTGGCTTAACAGGTGATGGGGGGCAAGGGGAGCACCCACAGTAGGCTTAACAGGATCACAGGAGGCCTAACAGGCTCTACAGTAGCCCTAACAGGCTCCACAGGCCGCCACAAGAGGAGACATGTGAGAGGCGCGCGTGCCGCCGCCACCGTCCTGCCTCGCCGGCCACTCCCAGGCCACTGAAGGTCGCCCGCTTCCCACCGCATTATATACATTTGGTTTGTATTTATTTATATATATATATATAATATATATATATATATATATATATATATATATATATATATATATATATATATATATATATATATATATATATATATATATACAAAAGAGTTCTTACGTTCTTGTAAAAATGTAATACATTATCTATTATAACTTCAGGTATTATAATCCGAAACGCTATGCGTGCAAGAATGTAAAACTTCGTCTCTATACTCTAATAAACCCAATGTACCTTCTTGTATATAAATAAATAAATTAATAAAAGCTACACAATACATTATCAATATAACTATACGCTTCATACTGCCTATTGGACAGTGCAACTAGGTACCTATATCTATCCTATTTTTAAACGTGTTTTCTTTTTCATTTAATAACAGCTGTCTACGACGTCTCAACCCTGCTATAGTTGTTTAGAAAATAATTGGAGCGTAGTGATTGTAGAAGTGGTTTACTAGCTATTTATAATATACCCATATAATGATGACATTGAAAGGGAAGTTATTTGGTAACAAAGATATTTATATTCTCAATGAATTTGAGTAACTCTTTTGAGTTGAAGACAAAGCCAGGAGCGGGACACAGCAAAGCCTAACAGGTTCTTGCTAGGCTACCTAAAGCTACCCAAAGTTGCTCAAAGCTACCCAAAGTTGCTCAAAGCTACCCAAAGTTGCTCAAAGCTACCCAAAGTTGCTCAAAGCTACCCAAAGTTGCTCAAAGCTACCCAAAGTTGCTCAAAGCTACCCAAAGTTACCCAAAGCTATTCAAAGCTACCCAAAGTTACTCAAAGCTACCCAAAGTTACTCAAAGCTACCCAAAGTTACCCAAAGCTATTCAAAGCTACTCAAAGCTACCCAAAGTCACTCAAAGCTACTCAAAGCTACCCAAAGCAACAGAAAGCTGCCCAAAGCCTCCGAGCATTACCTAAGTATGAAGAAATATGACATATTTACCCGCTATAATGTTGGTGCTGAATGTAGAACATGAAAAAAACATTTGAAACCATGAATAAAATAACGTAAAATATGCAAATTAGTGAAAATTAGTCCTGCTTTAAGCGGAAATTTTTCTTTATGAAGGACATAAGGTTGCGGGCGTCAGTTTGGGCAAAATTTAACCCTTCGCCCTTTTTAACTAATTTGCATATTTTCGGTATGAAAAGTCGTAATTTAAAACTCCAAATATGTGCAATTACTCTGAATTCCGCTCAAAAATAACGTTCAGGAGTCATATTTCCGATAGCCATCGTATTTTGAAAACTTCAGGTCAATTTGGGCAAAATTTCACCAATCTGCATAATTTTCGGTATAAAAAGGTCGTAATTTAAAATTCCAAATACTTTGTGTAATGAGCCAAAATTCGGCTAAAAAGGTACGCTCAAGAATCATATTTATAAAACTGCAGGTCAATTTGGCCAATACCTGACAAGAAAAGGAGAAAATTAGATTTCCATTCAACTAGCCTTACGGCTGAGTGGAGAACGCTCAGGGTTCGTAGTCCTAAGGGCCTGGGTTCGATCCCCGGTGGAGACGGAAACAAATGGGCAGTTTCTTTCACTCTGATGCCCTGTTCACCTAGCAGTTGAGGAATGTCAATAGTGGGAGGAAGAAGTTTCACAGTACTCCATATAGAGACTGGCAAGAACAGGGAAGAAAGGGGAACTCATAGTGATATCAAGAAGTATTTTGAGTGAAGTATACTATAGTGAGAGAAGTATTTTCCATTGAAATTAGAAGAGTTAAAGTCATCACAGTCTGATGAGCTTGAGGAAAACGTAAATAGGAAGTGGGAGATGAAGAAGGCCTTCAGTTACCTTCTAAGGAAAGATCATCATCAAGAGAAACATTAGTAAAAAGCAGAATCAACATCAAGACTAAGCATCTTACAGAGGGCTGGTGCAATTTCTCGATGAACTCCTGAGGGTGACAAAGGTGGACAGGAGAGAAAAGTACCAAAATAAGGAGCACGTGTTTTTTATGTAGAAAATGTATGGCTTATAGCCATACGAGTCATAAATACTTACACTCCGCCTAAGTCTAACAGAAACAAGCAACACTTAGTGGGCCAGCCAGAGGCTTAGGGCCCGATCAGGAATTTCCCTGCAAAAAACACAAAAAAATTGCCTTTAAAGGAAGTGTAACAGTATAATTGTTAGCTTTCAGGGAGGCAAGGGCAAGCTGGAAGCGACAAGGAAGGTGGTGATTTTTAGAAAGCAAACTGTCAAGAACGGGGAATAGAGCCCCCTTAAGGAAGAAAAGTCTAAAAAGAGTACTAGTTGGAATTGTGAAACTGTTCAAAGGAACTAATGAGATCAATGCCACGGTGAGGGCCATGTAAAGTAGCAGGAGAGAGACCAAGTAGTTCTTGCTGGTGCTTAGAGAGAGGGGGAAGAAGAAAGGTTGTCAACACAGTCAAGAGAGATGATTTAGGCCAAGGACTCTTAGAAATCAGACGAAGCTTCTTGTATAGTATGGAAGAGTGGTGGGAAGAGGAGAGGCGAGCAGTGTTGAAAGCGATGAGAAATAAGAGATTACACAGATCATTGGAAAGAAAAGATCATTGGGATATACTGTTAAAAAAGTATCATCATCTTGCAAAGTGGCAAGAGAAGATAACTTGGCGTGTGAAAAAGTGTTGCTCCTGATGGAGGTGTAGTGGTGTGTTACGTACTAGGCAAGATAGTGAGGAGGCATTGCAGGTTGGGCCCATGTGACTTGAGGTGCCACCTAGTGTGCTTGGGTACTGGTAGTGCATGGTGTATTGACACTTGAGGTGCCACCTAGTGTGCTTGAGTACTGGTAGTGCATGGTGTATTGACACTTGAGGTGCCACCTAGCGTGCTTGGGTACTAGTAGTGCATGGTGTATTGACACTTGAGGTGCCACCTAGTGTGCTTGAGTACTGGTAGTGCATGGTGTATTGACACTTGAGGTGCCACCTAGTGTGCTTGGGTACTGGTAGTGCATGGTGTATTGATACTTGAGGTGCCACCTAGTGTGCTTGGGTACTAGTAGTGCATGGTGTATTGACACTTGAGGTGCCACCTAGTGTGCTTGGGTACTAGTAGTGCATGGTGTATTGACACTGGGCAAACTACCATGCCTTTGTTTCCAACTTTTCTATCTTTTTAATCAAGATACAAAAGTTTACTTTGCCTCATCTATAATTTTTGGCCTATTTTACTCAAGTTTGGGTTGATCTCGGAACACAATGCTTCCATGAGCACACCAGATTCTGGTGCTGGTGTTTGGTAGGAATGCACAAATCCAAACACCTGGTGCTTTCGTAGATGCATCTGTGGTACCAAAACCACTGCACCAGGGCACTACCGAGGGACAGCCTAGAAAGAACTGCATAATAATGTTGTTATTACTGTAATAAAATATAATTTTGCATGTTGCATATGTATATTTGCTTATTGTCTTTTTTTTTTTACAAGTAAATATTCACAATGATTCTTCTATTACATGCTGAAAAGAACAAACTGACTGCATAATAAGCATGCTCTAAGCACATGCCCATCCCACACCCGAAGTGAATGGGTGCGATGGGTAGGTGGGTCGATGATGTATACTGCGCCAACGTGGTGTGGACGCAAATATTTTGGACGACATAATGCATCATCAGAACAGTGTTAAAAGTTTAAACAATTCTTAAATTTTGACATACTGTATTAGATATAAAAGCAAAAATAAACAATTTTAGTTCGTTACATATTGTCTCCCCCCCCCCCTCCCAAAAAAATAGTGGGAGGAATTACTAGATATAGAATTATGGACCTTGGTTACCTCTCACAGTGTTTAGGCAAATTGCTTCACAAGCTACATAGTTAACAAATCTATTGAAGCTAAATAATAAAAAATACACATTCATTTGGGCCAGAACATGCCAACAATCACATAGTGCTTTTTAGCTGTCAAAAAACAACCTATATTTACATTATCTAATTTAAAAAATAAATAATTTAAAATGTATTCATCAATGATCTGACTAAATTTTAGACTAATTTTTCTAATAAACATTTAATTCAAGATTATAAGGCAATTATGAAAATATTGAATTTACACATTAATCACTAACAAACGAGCATGGCAGAATATCCGAGTGGCATTTTATCGTAATATTTGTAAAGTTATATCGTGCACACAAGAGAACCACGGTCACGGCCCTGTTGCTTGTGACCGTTCAATGGAGCATAAAGAGCAAGGCCATCTAACATTCAACATAATAGCCACACATTAGAGCCATATACTACACACATACACACAAATATGGGGTTCCTCTTCAATAACAATCAGTAGCGGTAACCCCCCCTTTGAAAGACCATGAGATTTCACTTGCACAGCTAAATGAGGAATAAAATAAATTAGAAATATTTTTTGTATACAATAAATTCACTAAACAGGCATTTTTGAGAGCTATGGTAAAGTCATGTTAACCCTTATTCATATTATATAAACAAACATTACAATTGTTAAATATGAAAGGAAGATGGTTACATACGTCCTAATAATAAATTAAGCTTCAAGTCATTACGTTACTGTATAATACAGAGTCAATTTTAGAGTAAAACTATGGTCACAAGTGCTAGTGTCATTGTATAATACACATGTTAATAAATTATGTTTACAAATGTGTTGGGTCATTATTTAAAGAATATATATAAATCTGTATATAATCTAATAATAATATATACTGGTGCTATGATCATAATATGGGGTAATTGAGCAGATTGCCTTCTGGCATGGCTCCAACATTTTAATCATCATCCACGAGCATGAGATGAGCTGCCGACTGGCCCTAAGAAATAAATTCCCTACAGTGAGAGAATACACTTTCTTCTACTAAGATTGCATTAGGAAGGCCATGTTACAATATACAGTACTGTACTTAAGCAGAATAAAAGCAAAAAAATTGACAGTCTTCTCAATTATGTAACAGATGACTGGGTTAATAAGCCTACTTTTGTGACAAGCTAAAAGTACAAAATAACATGTATAAATTGCTTTTCAAATTCAATCACTACAAGAGTGTGTTGTAGATAACTGTGTTCACTAGCCATGCTGACGTGTGTGTCAAAGGTAACTGTGTTCACTAGCCATGCTGACGTGTGTGTCAAAGGTAACTGTGTTCACTAGCCATGCTGACGTGTGTGTCAAAGGTAACTGTGTTCACTAGCCATGCTGACGTGTGTGTCAAAGGTAACTGTGTTCACTAGCCATGCTGACGAGTGTGTCAAGGGTAACTGTGTTCACTAGCCATGCTGACGTGTCAAAGGTAACTGTGTTCACTAGCCATGCTGACGTGTCAAAGGTAACTGTGTTCACTAGCCATGCTGACGAGTGTGTCAAGGGTAACTGTGTTCACTAGCCATGCTGACGTGTCAAAGGTAACTGTGTTCACTAGCCATGCTGACGTGTCAAAGGTAACTGTGTTCACTAGCCATGCTGACGTGTCAAAGGTAACTGTGTTCACTAGCCATGCTGACGTGTCAAAGGTAACTGTGTTCACTAGCCATGCTGACGTGTGTGTCAAAGGTAACTGTGTTCACTAGTACACTGACATGTTTATTTACTATTTGTGCCTGCAGAATCGAGCTATTATCTCCTGGACCCCGCTTTTCTAACCAATCTATTTTCCTCTTATGTATACTACATATATTTTCTAATACACACACACACACACAACCTCAGAAAGTAGCCCATAGCAGTTGTCAAACTCCCAGGTACCAATTTACTGCTAGGTGAACAGGTGCATCAGAGAGTGAAAGAAACTCTGTTCATTTGTTTCTGCCTTGGCTGGGAATCGAACCCGGGCCCTTAGAACTATGATCCCTCCCCCCCTCCCCGAGCACTATCCACTCGGCCACGAGGCCCCCCATACTGGTGCTATGATCATAATACGGGGAAATTGAACAGACTGCATTCTGGCATGGCTCCAACATTTTAATCATCATCCACGAGCATGAGATGAGCTGCCGACTGGCCCTAAGAAATAAATTCCATAGAGTGAGAGAATACACTTTCTTCTACTAAGAGTGTATTAGAAAGACCATGTTACAATATACTGTACTTAAGCAGAATAAAAGAAAAAAAATACTGACAGTCTTCTCAATCATGTAAGAGATGACTGGGTTAAAAGCCTACTTTTGTGACAAGCTCAAAGTACAAAATAACATGTATAAATTGCTCTTCAAATTCATGTCATGGGTAACTGTGCTCACTTGCACACTGATCTGTCATGGGTAACTGTGCTCACTAGCACACTGATGTGTGTTATGGGTAACTGTGCTCACTAGCACACTGATCTGTCATGGGTAACTGTGCTCACTAGCACACTGATCTGTCATGGGTAACTGTGCTCACTAGCACACTGATCTGTCATGGGTAACTGTGTTCAATAGCACACTGATCTGTCATGGGTAACTGTGCTCACTAGCACACTGATCTGTCATGGGTAACTGTGCTCACCAGTACACTGATCTGTCATGGGTAACTGTGCTCACCAGTACACTGATGTGTGTCATGGGTAACTATACTCACCAGTACACTGACATGTGTGTCATGGGTAACTATACTCACCAGTACACTGACATGTGTGTCATGGGTAACTATACTCACCAGTACACTGACATGTGTGTCATGGGTAACTATACTCACCAGTACACTGACATGTGTGTCATGGGTAACTATACTCACCAGTACACTGACATGTGTGTCATGGGTAACTGTACTCACCAGTACACTGACATGTGTGTCATGGGTAACTGTACTCACCAGTACACTGACATGTGTGTCATGGGTAACTATACTCACCAGTACACTGACTATGTGTGTCATGGGTATCTGTTCACCAGTAGTGACGTGCATGTCATTAGGTAACTGTGCTCACTAACATCATGATAAACAGAAAAGAAAGTCTTGCATTTTTGACAGGATTGTCATTATTCACTCTTCTTGTGCTTTCCTATGAGCATGGCTCGTTGCTTCTCATTCACTGCATTTGTTCTTATTCAAATTACCCAAAGTTACTAACAATTCAACACCAGAGCTCTAGTACAGCAAAGTTAGCATGCCACAATTACCAACACCCACCAACATCTAACCATGTGCTGCTTTTGCTAAAGCTACAACGAAAAACCTAAAATTATTGGCACATTACAAAGTTATCTACCTTTTTATAATGCTCATCAAAACCACGCAGTCTTAATTAATATGGACATATCATAAATTATAAATTAAGGAAACATACTGAAAAGGAGAGATACAAGTGGGGAGGCCGTCAAATAATTAAACATACAAAAGTTTAGAAGTCCTATACACAAGATAATTAAACAACTGTATTTGAATAACATACATGATTTAAAATAGACATCAATTATGTATATTAGCTAATAAGAATAGATATCCAATTTTGTCATTTCATATTAAGATGATTATCATACTCGTTTCACTAAAAAACTAGCACTTTAGTCCTAGGAGTCCTTAACATCCTTCCTGGGGGTGGAGGCCTGGTCGAGGACTGGGCCGCGGGGACACTAAAAGCCCCGAAATCATCTCAAGATAACCTCAAGATAACATCCTGCCAGAGACCACAACCTGGCTCCTCCTACCTTCACAGAGATGCGGGGAGCAAGGGATTCTTGATCACCCTCACTGAAGAAACAAACCCCCAAAAAGGAAGTGAAGCAAAATAGACAACTGCAGGGATCCCAGAAATTAAACAAACAATGCAGCAAAGAATCCCCCCCAGTAGTTAGGTCATACCCCCTTTCCTAATTTACAGCTGGCCCCCCACCAGGTGGCAGCATCACTGAAGCTGCCCGCTCTCCACGTCAACAATCATCAGTCTGGAGCTGAGGGAAACTGACTGACGGACATGGTGGGGAGGTCAAGGGTCCGGAGAGCCACTGAGGCCTCCCCCCCCCCCTCCAGAAAGAGGCATTTCATTATATTCAACAATGGTTTTCTGGAGGGGCTAAATGGTGGCCTTCTATAGCTAACCACAGAGAAAAGGAAAACATTGGACACACCTGGGCAGGAGAGAAAGGCTCAAACACCCTAAAGGGAGAGATCACACACGGAAAAAACAACTAAGGGCAACACAATTATGACAGATCACAAGCACTGACTGAATAATGAACCATCAGGATTCTGTTATAGCCCCAAAATCCAGAGTCCAGATAAAAGCTCAAAACATTAAATCGCTGCAACCAGTGACATGAAAGGCGATCACTGCCTGATAGGTCCTAACCTCATCAGAGGGGTAGAAAGAACAAACCCCCGTAGGATTTGGGGTCAAAGGTGTCACTGATCTAATGACAATCCACACCCAAGACCAGTGGAGCTTGCCGAGGCCTGAAGGTTTCAAAGAGGACACCCAGGCACTAGGGACACTCGCCGGATGAACTGACACCAAACACACCACACAGAAAAAATGTGGCTGCAAGGCATGCCATATTAACAAGCACATGATCCTGAGTGCACCCCCTTAATCAATAACCCCAGAATACCCTCAACCTCAGAAACTTGCAAAACGAGTCAAAGTCCCTAGCACTACTCGGGGTGAAGCATCCTCCACAGGAAGCCGACCTCTGGGATGAACATCCAAACACACCAGGGAAGAAACCATCAAGGCAGAGCCAACATCACACCTAGGGCAGGGCTACCCTAAGCACATGCATCTTGAGATGAACAGTTTCCAAAGTCCACACCACAAGTGAGGCTTGTAAACACAAGCACGTGAAGCAACCACTAGGTATTGAAGCAATACACAAGCAAATGGGCCCTCCACAGGATAGAGTCCAAAGAATGAACAACACATCTAGAATCTCTGGGTCTCAAAGAGCTGGCAACTGAAGGAGCATGTCAGACATGTCTGATATCAGGCAAAGGATGATGATTGTTGACATGGAAAGCTGGTAGCTCCTGTGGTGCTACCACCTGACAGTGGCCAGCTGTACTTAAGGGGTATAACCAAACCTCTGGGGAATTGTTTGCTGTATTGTTTGTTTACTTTGTGAACCTTACAGTTGTCTGTTTTGCCTCCCTTCATTCTGGAAGTTTGTTTCTTCAGTAAAAGTGATCTTGCATTCCCTGCTCCTCTGTGAGGGAGAAAGGGGGAGGGGGGGGGGCAAGTTTTGGCCTCTGGTCACCAATAATATGTTAAGGACTCCTAGGGCTGATGCGACTTAGATGTGCGGAGCTATTTCAGTGCAGCTAGCTACAAGAATCCCATTCAGCCCCCACCAGAAATTAATACAAATTTGTTTTTACTAGTATACCCATTTCACTAAAATCTAATCATTTGTACATATGGCTATTCCCACACCCAATTTTGGGCAAGGCATTTTAGAACTGCACAAAAGGAAACCAGGATATTTCTGTCAGTAAACTTCTTAATGAATTTATTATCTGCAAAATATATTTGCATAATTACAGTATTATGAAAAACTTGGACAAATTAGCAGTGCACAGTGTAATTTGTAGATGAATGCACCTGTTACATTCTTTATCATAAAGTAGGCTTGCATTAATTTTCGACAACATGAACGAAAGCATCATGATACAGGTAACCAGTGTCGGCCAATAAGCCAATAGCTAACTCGTGGCTACCATTGTAACATAGAACAGTATGCAACTTGTAATATAAACACTGATTTTTAACTCATGAATTAGCCACACTTAACTAATACATTAGTTGCTGCTGATACACAGTAACTGGTCCTGAACCATCACTGTACCTCAACTGATACACAGTAACTGGTCCTGAAACATCACTGTACCTTAGCTGATACACAGTAACTGGTCCTGAAACATCACTGTACCTTAGCTGATACACAGTAACTGGTCCTGAAACATCACTGTACCTTAGCTGATACACAGTAACTGGTCCTGAAACATCACTGTACCTTAGCTGATACACAGTAACTGGTCCTGAAACATCACTGTACCTTAGCTGATACACAGTAACTGGTCCTGAAACATCACTGTACCTTAGCTGATACACAGTAACTGGTCCTGAACCATCACCATACCTCAACTGATACACAGTAACTGGTCCTGAACCATCACTGTACCTCAACTGATACACAGTAACTGGTCCTGAAACATCACTGTACCTTAGCTGATACACAGTAACTGGTCCTGAACCATCACTGTACCTTAGCTGATACACAGTAACTGGTCCTGAACCATCACTGTACCTTAGCTGATACACAGTAACTGGTCCTGAACCATCACTGTACCTTAGCTGATACAGTCATTGCTTACAAGCTATCACTGTAACCTGACTTTGTTTGGTTAGTAGAGGATCTTTAAATACAAAATAAAGAAGTCTGATTGGCTAGCCAAAGACTTGCTTCTGTAGCAAAGACATTACAAAATGCTAAAAGGTATCAATGGCTTTAACTCATTAATATTTTAAAATTACCGTAGCGATAAACATTTTATAAGCGCATTATAACTAAGCGGCATGACTGCTCGCCGTGTAACTAAGCAATTGGTCCATATCGTGCTTTCTTCATATCTTAATCAAAAGACATGCTAATTATCTAAGCCCAAAAGATACGAGGTTAGATTGGGAGGACACCTGTGTGACAAGAAACTAGTTAATGATTTACTATGATAAGATTTTGTTTGCATTTAGTTAAGCCAGCTTAGGGTGAGACTACAAACTGCCACAAGAGCTAGCTCTGCCCACAATGCTGTTGAAAACACTACCGAATCAACAAAAAATTTGTAATCAGGTATTCCATTATATATATATGTCCACTATCTACAGCATAAAAGGGTGCAGTCATAAACTCATAAGCCCATTAAATCAAATAGTCTGCCAGCTTACATATAACTGAGCTTTCATTGTTTCAATTAAAGTTAATTATAACTGCATTAGTGATGGTCCCACACAGCAGGTCAATCGGAAACTTTGGCCTAACAGCAGCCATCACACAGGTTGCTGCCTAAACGTAAATAAAAAAATAGCTGCATATACCGTATCACAAAAGGATATGAAACATATTTCTCAGCCAAATAATTAAGTAGAAGTTATCACCATTAAGAATTCCAAAGTTTACATCACCATCCAAGACTCAAGCACGGTGAGAGGAAGTTCCACATCCTTACTAAAATTCAATATAATTCATTAATAAGGTATAAACTTCTTTATAATATTTATGTTACACTACATATTTAAGACAAAGCATAAAGAATTTTAATGTTACACTTTATGATTAACAATTTATATAAGATTTCTGCCAATAGAGGCATGAAAAGTACAAAATAGTAATCTTCAAAATATATCAACATTAAACATTGAAAACATTTTCCATGATTTACTAGATGAACAGTATATGAGGAATGTTAATAAGTAGAAAAACATTTGAGGAATTCTTGTATGAACATTGTGTGTGTGTGTGTGTGTGTGTGTGTGTGTGTGTGTGTGCGTAATTACTGAAATGTACTTATTGGAAGAGAGCTATGCTTGTGGTGTGCCATTTTCTTTATATTTATCATATTATATAGACTGAGTGTTGAAGCATCTAAGGTGCTGGCAAACACAGCCGATTGTTATTTAGCACATCTGGCTACCACAGCTTGCAATGGTATACTTTTGCATATTTTAACAACACATGTTCTTGAAATTTGTACTAGTGAACTCGCCTAATTGTGCTAATGGGGGGGAAGAACTTCAGTTCTTTGATTTGACTTCTCATTCTCTAATCAATTTGATTTACCGGATTTACCTGAGGGCCACTAACCCTAGTGACCTCGACGAGGACAGGAAACCAAAGTTCACAAGTACGGGTACTTGTGTACCAGAGCCTATTTGAGACTTAAACATGTTTAAGAACTGTATATGCTCTGTGTGTAATTGTGTGTGTGTGTTTACCTTTCAGTAACTACGGGGGATAGGAATTTACCTCCTAACCATTTGTAACATGTTTGTGTGCGAGTGTATTTTATATATATGAGTATGTATGTGCACATGTGTGTACAGTAATTACCTAAGTGTAGTAGCTACATGATGAGAGCTATGCTCATGGTGTCCCATCTTCCCAATAAATTGTCATGTGATGATTTGAAACTACTGATGGGTTTGGCCTCCATAGCCACCACCACCACCTCACCAAAATTGTACCAACCTTTTACAACTCTTTGCAAACTTACTTATATTTTTTAGCATATTTTATTTCCTTAGCTTAAATTTATAGCCTCTAGTTCTTGAAGTTGAAAGTTTAAAAAATTCCTTCATATCAACGGTGTCAATGCAACCCGTTCTCCACTTTCTTATAGTCAATATTGACTTATTAAATACGTGCATATGTGACATACTAAACATACTAGTTTACCTTGAAAATCTTCATAGAACACACCGACCTTACCTAACCTTCTTAGTATGTTAAGATAAGCATCTTATTGCTTCGTAGTTACAATTATTACTTAACCTATACCTATAATAGGTTAAGTAATAATTGTAATTACAAAGCAATAAGATGCTTATCTTAACATACTAAGAAGGTTAGGTAAGGTCGGTGTTTTCTATGAAGCTTTTCAAGGTAAACTAGAATGTTTAGTATGTCACATATGCACGTATTTAATAAGTCAATATTGACTATACGAAAGTGCAAGAACGGGTCGGTCAATGTGTCAAAATTTTGTACACGGCGGTATTGCCATTTTCCCTCACATCCTCGAAATTTGGCATATTTACTATCTCTAGCTCTCCAAGTTCTGCAAGACATTTGGTAGCATATCTTTCCAACTTTTAAAGTTGAATGATGTGCGTCTTGATTTATGCACACAACTGCTGCATATTCTAATTTCAGTCTCACAAAATGTCAAGAACAGTTTCAGTGTAACTACAGCTAGTATAACGTTTATATGTTTCAGTATAACTATATATTTAAACACAATTCTACAATTTGCTAGTGTAGCAAAAGCTCCCATTCAACACTTTTGATGTGACTGTCAGGTGGCATTGTGTTCGCGTACGTGCAAGCATGTGCATGATAAAATAAAGTTACCTGAGAAGATAATGTGTGCACATCACTAGCAGCTTTAACAATTTATATGACAAGAATGTAAGGTAGACAGGACACCACAGGCTTAGTTATTATAATGTTAACTGCAATGAGGTAATTGGGCCATGACACACACAGGTAAAAATATACAAGCAAGCATGCACCACTCACACACACGTGCTTCAGGGCCTATAGTAAAAACAGCTTCATTGAGAAACTTACTACAATGTTGTAGTGCCTGAATGAAGGAGAAGGAAAAACTAAGTTTATGTTGAAGTGTATAATCAACCCTAATTTTCAGATGTAACCTATATCCCTCTTCAAGGTACTGTATACAATGTTCTGAACATTGAATACAGTACCTTGAGAAAGGATGTAATTACATTCAAATATTTGGTTTTTAATACACTTAAACATAAATTAAGTCTTTCCTTCACCTTCATTAATGACTTCATTGTCATAACCTACACTGTGTAATTACCCTATTGTAGTTTCATCCTGCAATTACACTTAGGTAATTGCACATTGCAGATCATTAAAATGAAGCCATTTCTTCTATAGGACCAGAAGCAACATAAAATACACTGATACTTATGCTTGCAAGAGCCTATTTACTTTTACTGACTTTAGAAGGGATGCCAAATACAATAGCTGCAATATTTAGCATAAAAATAATTCTACATTGGAATCCCATCTATAGCTAAACATGTGTGGGTTGTTTGAATTATAGTGCCTATGGTCGCCTCAACAATACTGATCATAGAGACAATGGAGATTCACATAAAGGCCCAATTCATAGATTATATATTTTCAGTTCATACAAAATGTGTAAAAAGCGGACTTCATATCTCTAACTATTAAAGTTAACAACGACCAGGTCCCAAGTAATCTAGATAAAGGTGCTGCCCATTTTACCACAGATACAAAAGCCTAGCAGGCAGTGAATAAAAATATTCCCACAAACAAGATCAGGAGTGGCAGAAAATGTTCAATATATCAAGACTGGTGCACAGATGCAACCATGATGCTGTAATGTTGCTGCTCACCAATTCTGAAGGCTATATCATCTAAATAAATTACTATATTAGAAACTGTACATGAAAAAAAGTTCACAGAATGTTTTACATTTCACCAAGAATACAGAGTATCAAATGTGAATGTTATCGAAGGACTTCATTACATAACAGTAGTGTGAACTTACTCAAACGAGCTATACAGGCCACAGTTGATCCCTTACATTAGGAATTTTGCTTGCTCCAACAAACCATTGGTAACTCCATTTCTTTTTTTTTTTACTGTTTTGGGAGGACATACAACCACCGAAAGGCATTTGTATCATATCCACGTACCCTTCGTAACCAAAGGCTTCACAGCTCGGTACCAAAGTGTTGTGATTACACCTCCATATTTGCATCATGTAGATAACGACTGCTAGGAGTAGAAAGTTCAATACTGAACACAGGTTCCAGTGGACCTAGCACTCCAGTAGCTCATCAGAATCATCATCTCAACACAAACATCCTCTTAAAGAGGACCATAAAATGCTATCAAGGTAAATGACGGAATTTAATTTTGTATACACCAGAAATTTTGCAAAGACCAATGGTCTCTGTAAAATTTTGTTATCGATTTTCTTTTGGCCCAACCTCTGTGGATATAGTATAAATGCCTATGTACAGGTTTGATTTTTACTTTACCAGGACAGTTTAGTGAAATACTTGAATAACCCTGAAGCACATTTAGGTAAGTACAAATTCATCATAAACAACCTTCGTCCAACACCGAGGTAAACAATTATTTATTATGCATTCTTAATTTGACTATTGCACGTAACACTGCAACAATTCGGTCTCAAAATGAAATATATATGATCATTATTGGGCCTAAAAATGTAAAATGATTAAAGTATAACAAACGTTCTCACCAATCACGGTGAGTGTGGGAGGAAGCGAGTACAGGTGTGGTGGAGGCAGCTGGCTCCGAGTTACCTGCCTCTCGCCTCACACCACCACCGTCTCGACAAAGGCAATTGGGAGGTTTCCTGCTCTTGTATAACATTAATTTTCTGCTCAATAAAAATATATTTCCAGCACCATGATTGTCTCTCCTAAGACATCTTAATGGAACAAAAACAGACAGTGCAGATATAGCAATAAAATATTTAACAATAACTTTGTTCACTGTCCAGCCAAGCAGCTCTGGTATTTAAAGGTGTACAAATGACCATAACGTGGTAATATTTCCACATATGCCTTGGTCATCTTTTGTGTATCATACAAGTCTGATATACTGTACTGTACAGTATTTATAATGTTTGTATAATAATTTGTAGTACGTATTTTATTTTTCAAGTTTTATACGTATTTTATAAATATTTGTATTTAGTACTAAAATTCCATTGGAATGCATGAGCCACAATAACACTCAATACAATAAGAGATTAGTATTGGGCCACTTTGTATATAAATCTTTTAATATCAAACTACAGTACCGTATTTGATAATATAATTGGTAAAGATAATATGTCCAATTTGAATTTGCATAAAAGATTTTACACGCACTGTATCGTCGTTCACATTTCAACTTGGTCTGCTGCTAACATGGCCGCATCCCAACAGGCTGGCTCAGTGGCATCTTAGGAAACACAATTCTCACAGAAATGAACATTTGTTTGGACCGCTGAACTGTTTGCACCACGTAAGAATTCGATCGAGCGAGGGGCCCACTGTACTTTCATTGTTTCCAAACATATGTCAAGGGTTTAAAGTACTCCTATTTGTTTTATGAAAGACCCTCTGGGTTTAATGTAAAGTATACTGTTACTACATATTCCTTTTCTCAGGACTGAAGCCTGCTTGATACGTGCTTGATGGGGTTCTGGGAGTTCTTCTACTCCCCAAGCCCGGCCCGAGGCCAGGCTTGACTTGTGAGAGTTTGGTCCACCAGGCTGTTGCTTGGAGCGGCCCGCAGGCCCACATATACCTGCTTGATGGGGTTCTGGGAGTTCTTCTACTCCCCAAGCCTGGCCTGAGGCAAGCCACGCATTTAATCATTAATTTACTCATACTTCTTACATAACTTGAATGCAAGAAGAGCAAAGATTAATAGACCAAAACCTTAATGTAAACCCTTGCTAGAAATTCCTTTCTAATTAGGATACGAGTTCATATGATAATTCATTATCTAGCGTGTTCTAAAGATAATTATAAATAATTATACCACTGAAAATAACTAGCTTTCAGTCAATCCAATAAAGAGATCTTAAAATACAGCTGAAACCATGGGATAACAGGTATATTGGATTTTTCTTTATCTTTTTCTAAGGCCATATATATAAGACGTATGTAATATTTAAAGTGATAAAGAGTATGTATGTAGCAAAAACATTGTTATGCAATGCCCATGTATAGGCTATATCTGTGGCAGTACGAACTATGCTAACTTGTAGTACAATGTTTTGGGCCAAACATTCCATATTTTCTAAGTACAGTATAGTGATACAGTCCACGAGCACAAGCAAAACCCAACTCTATGAACCATACAGTCCTAATGAGAAATGTGTCGTATGATTAATTAGCTGCAAGAAGGGAGACAGACAAGGACAAAAATAAGTCATGACAGCAGCCAGTTTCACGAGTGGATGTTTTCCATCTGCAGAAGCTTTAAATATATATGTCTACTTGATAACTTACATCAATTTTTACTTAAGTACCAAATCACTGCCTCATACATTTGTGTAAAAAGCCAAAGACATGGAATATTTGACTTTGTTAGTAAACATTACAATACCATGGTTGCTGCAAGGATTACTTAGCAGTAAGAGAAGCCATTGCCCGTATTAGGGCAGTATTCTCCTGCCGTAGGTTAGAACGTTCGGAACAAGCCTGAGTGAGTTCTCCAGTAAGTAAAGAGAGGCGAGATTCCAGAGAAGAAATGCGCCGATCGCGTTCTTCCAGCAAGCCCAACAGACGTCGGTTTTCCTCACGGGCACTCTCTAGAAGCTGCAACAGAAAAATCCAAATGTTAAATTTAAAACAAAATACTGTAAAGTATTTTTTAGTATTAAGCTTTAGTCATTAATGTTTTACCTGCCCGAAACGCTTTGCGTAATAGTGGCTTTAGGCATTGTATGTACTAGCTCTATAAATCCATCAATCTTTGTAAAATCTCTTGTATGTATGTATCTTAAATAAATAAATAAATGTTTATTTAGGTATTTATTTATTTAGGTATTTATTTATATTCAACCCTAGTATAGCTCATCTGTTATACATCATCCTAGCATAAACAATCATGTGATCCCATGTCCATTATGTTACATTGTAATCTGTGTCACAAGTCAACAACTTTGCTACCAAACCAATATTTACTCAGGTATTTTCCTAAATCAAAACTTATCTAATTTATATCCATTGTTTCATGTTCCATTTTGTGTTGATGTATTTAATACCTTATTAATATTGCCCTTGTTATGACCATTCATCAACTTGTATACATCAATCGTGTCACCTCTAACTCCTTCCCTTTCTAAAGAATGTAAATTAATCTTTTTCAATCTCTTCATATGGAAGGTTTCTAAATCTTGGGATTAACTTTGTCATCATTAACTGAATATGCTCAAGAAAATTTATGTCCATTCTATAACATGGCGGCAAAATTGAACTGCATAATCTATGTGGGCCCAATAAGAGAACAATAATAGTGGAATAACATAAATAAATTTCTTAAATGACACATTATTGAATAACATTATTGCTAAAACCAGAGAACAAAAAATTAGAGACACTGAAATACATAAGTAGAAATAACTTGGTGGCAATTCCTGCCCCACACCTGATCGGGGGCGACTGCTCCATGAACACGAGGGAATTGTAACATCATTGCTAGGTTTCCCAGCGTCAACATGGCCAGTCACAATTTTTTTTTCCTCATGATGAGGGAATGCATTTAAATAATATTAAAAAGCTTGATTTTTGTTTTGTATTTCTTCCTTACACACCAGGGCACAGAACTGTCTCCTATAAACAGGGGTGCAGCCCAATTGTTAAAGATGCCTAGGGCAGCTGTGACTTACATACACACAGTTCTCTTAAGTGTGGCTAGCAACAGGGAGCTATCGAGTTCCCCCTCCCCAGAAAGGCGTCTCATTTAATGCTTTGGTTATATTTTATAATATATACAGCCACAACTATTTTTCCATTCATCTGGAAGTGTTACCTTCCTATGCTTTCCAAAAATGACTTTCACTTACAATGTTGAAAAAACTGATTTTTAAACATACTATATGGCATTCATCTTCATTTAGAGGAACAAATATAAGCAGGATACAGTTCAATAACCTACTTCATCTACACTTTCGGACGTCGGTGTTGCGGGCCGCCCATTTGCAGGTTGACGCGTGTTCTGAAGATTATTAGAGGGATGAATGCTTGTTATGGCTGAAGAAGCTGGCTGGACGAGAGATAAGGTGGAGTCACTCATGGTGAGGGAGTCATAATCTTGGTTGTCTTCATCATCGGCTTCTAAATCACTTGGGCTGCAACAGTTTTGAAAAATACATACACAATAATATTCAGAGCCAAAAAAAAAACAGCATTTGTTGGCGCCATAAAAAGTTCATTCCATAAGAACTTATGTAATGAAATGCCAATTTCTGAGTTAGCCTCGGAGGCTTCCCAAGGCTGAATCACTGATTCAGTAGGTACGTACTCTAATCGACATTTTTGTCAATTACATGTACGTAAATTGAGTTAGTCCACATATTGTGTAAACTAGAATGAAACAGAGAACATAAAAACCATCTAACCTTAAGAGGAAAACTCTTGTCCTGACACCACGAGTCAGTAGTACGTACCTGCCTGTCTCTCTCATGTTGAGGGGGGGGGCCTATGACCCCCCCCCCCCCCCATGTCTCCCTCCCTTGTCTACAAAACTAGAAAAAGATGTGGTGACTTATGGTGGGGTAGAAATGGTGGCAACATATGGTGGGGTAGAAATGGTGGCAACTTATGGTGGGGTAGAAATGGTGGTGACTTATGGTGGAGTAGAAATGGTGGCAACTTATGGTGGGGTAGAAATGGTGGTGACTTATGGTGGGGTAGAAATGATGGCAACTTATGGTGGGGTAGAAATGGTGGTCACTTATGGTGGGGTAGAAATGGTGGCAACTTATGGTGGAGTAGAAATGTGTAAAAATTGCTGCTCCTTTCCAGGATGCTGATTCAGTATATACAGTGCACAATATACAGCCGTCTGTATTACCTTAATTTTTTGGAAAAGTAGAAAATCCTTTCTATACTCAACATACAAGGAAATCTACTTCTACCTACTACACTACTTACAAGTTTGCAACTGACCTTTTATTTCTGTGACTTGTAAATGATTTCTTGTGCTTATGATCGACCATAGCCGGAGGCCCAGGAACAGCAGAGTGGTGATGGTCACTAGACCCTGTAGCATTTTTATCCTTCTCGGGATGTTCATTGTAATGTGTGTTGCGGCGTGTCTCCGCCGTCATCGACAACAACTCTTCGTCCTCACCAGTGCTGCCTCCTGTTGACTGTGGGCGCAAATAGCCTCTCTTCAAAAATTGATGTAGACAACCCATGCAAATAGATAATTTATACCTATGAATGCAACATTACATACATAGTATAAATGACACACACACATGACCGTTTAAACAACATGGTAACTGGTTAAGTGACAAATTACTACTACTGTACAGTACTGTATATTGATATAAGAGGTACACCAATATATTGGTATCAGCCTAATTTTTGCAGTACACCATGTGATTTACCCAGCAGGCATGAGTTAATACAATTATTGCAAACCCAAAATTTTGTGATTTGTGAGGAAAGTTGAATAAGGAACTGATGTGAGTTTTTTGTAGCATGAATGATTTTTGACAGTCTTTAACATATTTAATATGTTTAAAATGTTTTTAAGATCCAATACTGGGAGTGGTACAAGCTTTTTTACATTCAGCCAGCAAAGGGTTGAGCTCAACACTGTTTTCTTACCTCTGTGGATGGAAGGTGAACAACGCCAGTACTCCGTCTCTTTTCACGCAGTTTTCGTCGGTCTCGTTGCTGCTTTCCTTTGTTAGTGTGGTTAGGTCTAATGCGTAGAAACCAAAAGTGAATTATTTATCAAGTAATGGACAAAATTCACAAAATTAGCTATTCACTTATAAAGAACCATATATTCAACAACCATGTAGCCCTGTATCTAACACAAACTTCCCCAAGGTCATATGGATACCTGAATGTGGCCATACAACTTACCTGAAATTTCCACCCACAAATACATATGATAAATTGAATAAGGTACAATAAATAATAGTGAAGTTGTGCTCAAGATTATGAAATATAGCTTATAATATATATACAGGTGGAGAGGCAGTATACAAGACACTTGGTTGCACTAATGAACTCTGTACTGTACAGTACGTCTAGATTTCTTCTTATGCAAATAACTTGAATGTCTCCAGGACAAATAAAACATTGAGATTGTAAGTGGCATCACATGGCCTGTGTGCTATATATCATACTATTCCCAGAAAATTGTGAACAAATAAGATCATTTCTAGTTCGTGTATCTTCTCCTTCCCGCTGTTTTCTATTTCTATAATTTTCTCGTTCAGTTTTTTTGTCTCCATTCTTCATCCCTCATACTCATCACTTTTTCCACGTTTGTCTGCCATATCTCTTTATCCCTCTTTTTTTGTTATTTCTTATTTTATTATTATTCATATTTCTAAAGACACTGCCCGCCAAACACACACCGAAACAACGACGTTGGTACAACGTTCGAACAAGTTTTAACACCTCCTAACCAGTTATAACAACCAATATAGCAAGTTGTAACAATGTTCTAATACATTATAAACACATTAAGCCAAGATGTAACAACTTTATTACAAGTTGTAACAAGCGGAAAATAGAGACAGTTACGGTTTGTGTTTCCAGGGCATGCTTGAGCAGATCTTGATCAAAGGGTTGTCACTGGGTGAAGGCCTGTGTATCTCAAACTAGTATGTCTGTGCTAGCACCATGGCTGCATTGGCACCAATGATCTGACTGATGGTGGCTTAACAGGCTGTGAGAGTAGATGTGCAACAAAAGGTCCACTCACTCCACAAACTTGGTGAAACAATAATGAGTTGGGACCTCTGTGAAGGTATTGTCATCTCCTTGGTATTGTTGCAAGAGGAAATGTGATAATATAGGAATTTGAACAATGGAAAAATTTGTGTATGGTGACTGGGGTGATGAATAGAAAATGTATTTGGTCTCGGATAATGGACTACAAGCCACAATCTACATTTAACTTCCATAAATGTCATTTGAATGCCTTAAAAATATACAGTATTATCAAAATCCTTGTGGTACTTATAGTTACACAGTTTTAGTGTAGCACTGCATACCTATTCATCCTTTTCTCTTTGAGCCTAGTGGCTGGCTTGGGGCTGGCATCATGGTCAGGAGCCCCTGGAAAGAGCCCTCCACCAGTGCCAGCATCGCGCTCACTTCCCTCACATTCTTCATCTGCTTCACCTGTAACCCAATATCTAACATTATAAAGCCTCACAATTGGTCTTACATTTACTCGGACATTAAACTAAACTTGTGCCCCTATATTTCCATAAAATATCTAAATCCCCTTTTTGCTGTGTATGTGTTGTCACGTGAATCCCCTGCATAGCAGTGGAACTGCCTTTCCTACTCACCCTCAATGCCTCTGTACTGGAAGTTCACCTCTACACCAGCCAAGATTAGTCATCCGTCCTGCCACCTCTCCATACCCCCCAGGGCCTGGCACGGCCTGGTACAACTCGGCAGCAAGCAGGGCGCCTCTGCTAACCGATAGTTTGCCTTCACAAACATGCAGTTAGCCGCCTTCAACTAGCAGTGTGGCGCCTCAACACAAAGGCGCTGCCAGCTACAAACTAGCAGTTTGCTAGTAGCGCTTGTTACCACCTTGCGTTGACACCAGATGAGTCATCATCACCAGACTATACAAAGGGCACCACCTCCCTAGAGAGCCAGTCTCTCAGTGTTCTTGGATTACCTTAGCCTCCTGCAATGCCATCTGCCCTCAGCCTATGTCATGTGCTGGATACTGTGGTGGTATGGTAGCTGTCTTCAGCACACCAGTATACTCGTGTATTGGATTTAAACTTTCATTTACTTATTTTATTTGTTCTATAATAACAGCCAAGTGTTTTTAGGTGACATTTGTGGTCATTAATATTTCAGTAAATTGTTTTAATTATTTATTTGATGATTTTCATTTGTTTCCACCTGTGACTTAAACACTGCAAGGGCCAAAGCAGCATTTTTTTTCTATTTATGTGATGGAGAGTCATACCACCTTGGTTACCCCACTACTAGTTGAAGGCAGCTAGTTGCTTGTTTGTGAAGGCAAACTATCGGTTAGCGGAGGCGCCCTGCTTCCCGCCGAGTTGTACTAGGCCATGCCAGGCCCTGGGGGGGGGGGGGGGGGGAGGTACGGGGAGGTACGGAGAGGTGGCAGGACTGTTGACTAGTCTTGGCTGGAAGAAGAGGTGAACTTCCAGTACAGAGGCATTGAGGGCGAGTAGGAAAGGCAGTTCCACTGCTATGCAGGGGATTCACGTGACAGTGTTAAACTCTCGTATTTTAGTAGATAACAATCCAGACAAAAACATACTTGTTCATTTATCAGTGAACTAAGTAACCAACCAAAGAATAAACATGCATTAAAAGGACAAGAAAAGTAGATACCAGAGAACTATAGTTCCTGATAATGCTCTTAATGTTGATGAACATCCTGATGATGTCCAGGTAACATTAACATTACCTGAACATTTATAAAAACAAAAATATGTCCTTGACAACTGCACTAAAAAGTTTTTGCTGAAGCCAGGTGCGCAGTACTGTGGTTAATGCTACTGTTAATAACAAACAAAAAAGAAATTAACTATAAATATAGCTCTTGTTGCTTGTATAAGTAAACAAATTCAATTCCAACAAAGGTATTCCCTAACAGTGCTACACCATTTGATATAAAGCTAGCAGACTAAATTTGGTCATGGATACACACAAATTCACATACATATATCTAAATCATTAATTCAAATTATACTTGGATATTTAGATGAGGGTCTCAGTAATACAGTCACGTTCGTTATCGACGCACAATCAAGAATTCCAGGTTCGAATCCCGAGTGGAACAGAAATGATTGTGCACATTTCCTTTCACATAATACAACTGTTCACCTAGTAGCAAGTAGGTACTCAGGAGTTAGTCAGCTTGTTGTGGGGTTGCAGCCTGGGCGGGGTCAGTAATTCGACCCTGGGGGATTGGGGGGGATCCTCGATAAAAGCCTAACGTGTATGAATACATTCTGGCTTCCTGTTCCACAACACAGCGAATTTAACATACAAAGTACTCCCAGAGGTTCCATGATGCTTGTGGATGTATGTGTAACTGATCTGTTATCACAAATCTTGAGGCATGCTGATAGGAAAGATAAGATACTGGGAATCTTTGAATGAAACACACATCTTGTATACTTCCCTGTGTTAATGTAAGGGTTTTAAATATTGTTGTATGATGTGTAAAATATATTTTACACTTCAGGCACTTACTGTAATCTATTTTAGATGAAGGTTGATATCAACCTGAAATAGGAATAAAAAATATCACGAATATTTCATTAAAATAAATTAAAAACCTTTTACCTGGGCGTGACGATGGATTAATATTCCTGGCTCGAGCTGTGCGGATACGAGATCGGCGAGACGATGTCTCAAAGTCTATATCGACATCTTCCTGACTGACGGAACTTGATGCCATGCTGCCTCACTACCCTGCAATACAACATGCACCCCATGAAACTAGGGACAAAAGGAAAAGCTACCATATACTTAAATGGCTTCAATTCTGTTTTCCTATCAGCGTGTTAACTTTAGAATAAGCACGAGCAGTTTGAAAGGCATTGTGTATTTGATCTATCACATAATATAGGCTATGGTGATAAAATGTATTCAATTTTTCCTAATGTGAACCAAGATTAAGATTTCCAGCATGTTGCAGCATATCCAGTAGATAAAGCTCACTGCAGCTCAAGTCATTTTGCTACAAATTGTACAGTTATTATACCATATTAATTATTATTATTATACCAATTATTATACCAATTATTATATCAATTATTATACAGTATTATACCGTATTATACAAATTATTATACCGTATTATACCAATTATTATACAGTATTACACCAATTATTATACCCTATTATACCAATTATTATACCCTATTATACCAATTATTACACAGTATTATACCAATTATTATACCCTATTATACCAATTATTATACAAGTATTATACCAATTATTATACCCTATTATACCAATTATTATACCGTATTATACCAATTAATTTACGAACAAATGAACACACACACATCAAGAAAAAAATTAATATAACTTAAATATGCTGAAGATGCTATCAATAACACTGACGCCCAACTCAGCAGTAGCCGCAGCAAACGCTTCTCCAGGAGGCGCTGGTGAGAAACACATATATAGACGAGAGAGAGAGTTGGAGGAAGGGAGGGAGAGGACAAAGTGCGAGACTAAGAGGTTTGTGGGGTGTGAAAGCGGCACCTGGAGAACCATGTGTTATGGCCACCTTCCCCCTGACGGCCACCTCTCTGCAGGTATTAAACTGTTGGCTTTATATTGACCCGAGGGCCACTCCTCTATCTAGTGGCCTCAACAGGGGACAGGAAGCCAGCAGCTTATCAAGGGTCCCTTTATTTTTCCTTTAATTTATATATATATATATATATATATATATATATATATATATATATATATATATATATATGTGTGTATATCACGAAAATAAACACGTGATTAAGAATGTGACAATGTCAGACCACAGAGGAAAATGAAACAGGAATTTCCTTAAGTACTTTCGTATATTAAATACATCTTCAGAAGGAATATCTTCATTCCTTCTGAAGATGTATTTAATATACGAAAGTACTTGATTAAGGAAATTCCTATATATATATATATATATATATATATATATATATATATATATATATATATATATATGCGAACAAGCCTGAATGGTCCCCAGGACAATATGTTATATATATATATATATATATATATATATATATATATATATATATATATATATATATATATATATATATATATATATATATATATATATATATATTAGTATATTTTGGTAGCAGTCTTTCCTGTAGACATATATTATTAAATATGACCGAAAAAGTAAGATTAATAATTCTAACACGAATTTTCTCAATCTTTCGTACATTATGCTTCACTGTTGGAGGTAAATCAAAAATCACTTCTCCAAAATTCATTTTTATTTCTAGTCTGACGCGACACGGGCGCGTTTCGTAAAACTTATTACATTTTCAAAGACTTCACAAATACACAACTGATTAGAACTTGCGTTTCCCTGATTTTATATCTACATTTGAGTGAGGTGGGAAGGGTGATGTGGCATTACATTTGAGTGAGGTGGGAAGGATGATGTGGCATTAACACAAGACAGAACACTAGAGGATATTAATAGGGTATTAAAAGTATCAACACAAGACAGAACAGAAACAATGGGTATTGAATAGAAGTGTTTGTAGAAAGCCTATTGGTCCATATTTCTTGATGCTTCTATATTGGAGCGGAGTCTTGAGGTGGGTAGAATATAGTTGTGCAATAATTGGCTGTTGATTGCTGGTGTTGACTTCTTGATGTGTAGTGCCTCGCAAACGTCAAGCCGCCTGCTATCGCTGTATCTATCGATGATTTCTGTGTTGTTTACTAGGATTTCTCTGGCGATGGTTTGGTTATGGGAAGAGATTATATGTTCCTTAATGGAGCCCTGTTGTTTATGCATCGTTAAACGCCTAGAAAGAGATGTTGTTGTCTTGCCTATATACTGGGTTTTTTGGAGCTTACAGTCCCCAAGTGGGCATTTGAAGGCATAGACGACGTTAGTCTCTTTTAAAGCGTTCTGTTTCGTGTCTGGAGAGTTTCTCATGAGTAGGCTGGCCGTTTTTCTGGTTTTATAGTAAATCGTCAGTTGTATCCTCTGATTTTTGTCTGTAGGGATAACGTTTCTATTAACAATATCTTTCAGGACCCTTTCCTCTGTTTTATGAGCTGTGGAAAAGAAGTTCCTGTAAAATAGTCTAATAGGGGGTATAGGTGTTGTGTTAGTTGTCTCTTCGGAGGTTGCATGGCTTTTCACTTTCCTTCTTATGATGTCTTCGATGAAACCATTGGAGAAGCCGTTATTGACTAGAACCTGCCTTACCCTACAGAGTTCTTCGTCGACTTGCTTCCATTCTGAGCTGTGGCTGAGAGCACGGTCGACGTATGCGTTAACAACACTCCTCTTGTACCTGTCAGGGCAGTCGCTGTTGGCATTTAGGCACATTCCTATGTTTGTTAGTAAACATATGAATGTGCTATGTTTGTAACAAACATAGGAATGTGCCTAAATGCCAACAGCGACTGCCCTGACAGGTACAAGAGGAGTGTTGTTAACGCATACGTCGACCGTGCTCTCAGCCACAGCTCAGAATGGAAGCAAGTCGACGAAGAACTCTGTAGGGTAAGGCAGGTTCTAGTCAATAACGGCTTCTCCAATGGTTTCATCGAAGACATCATAAGAAGGAAAGTGAAAAGCCATGCAACCTCCGAAGAGACAACTAACACAACACCTATACCCCCTATTAGACTATTTTACAGGAACTTCTTTTCCACAGCTCATAAAACAGAGGAAAGGGTCCTGAAAGATATTGTTAATAGAAACGTTATCCCTACAGACAAAAATCAGAGGATACAACTGACGATTTACTATAAAACCAGAAAAACGGCCAGCCTACTCATGAGAAACTCTCCAGACACGAAACAGAACGCTTTAAAAGAGACTAACGTCGTCTATGCCTTCAAATGCCCACTTGGGGACTGTAAGCTCCAAAAAACCCAGTATATAGGCAAGACAACAACATCTCTTTCTAGGCGTTTAACGATGCATAAACAACAGGGCTCCATTAAGGAACATATAATCTCTTCCCATAACCAAACCATCGCCAGAGAAATCCTAGTAAACAACACAGAAATCATCGATAGATACAGCGATAGCAGGCGGCTTGACGTTTGCGAGGCACTACACATCAAGAAGTCAACACCAGCAATCAACAGCCAATTATTGCACAACTATATTCTACCCACCTCAAGACTCCGCTCCAATATAGAAGCATCAAGAAATAT